CGCGTCTTTACTCAGTGCCTTTGCCTCTATTGGCATTCGTAACGACCGACTCTTTATTGAGTCCATTCCACGTGTGCGTCATGTGGGGCAGTATGGTACACCGAAAGACATCACAAATGTGGTCTACGCCTATGCGAAGGTCGGTTTGTGGCACTACAAATTGTTTGTGCGATTGGCAGATCGTGCCATTCAATTGCGTGGCGAATTCCGTTGTGACCACGTTGCACGTTTGCTTGAGGCGTATGCACGTGTAGAAATGCGGTATGAAAAGCTCTTTGTGGAGTTTTCCCCACGTATCCAGACCATTGCTCACCTTCTTACAGCTGGCGAGGTGACAAAAATCGTTTCTGCCTACGCAAAGGTGCGTATACCTGATGTGGGAGTCTTTAATGCCTGCGGTGATCGTGCAGTGACGGTGGTGGATACATTTGAGTTGGATGAGGCGCAACAGGTTCTTGCCGCTTTCCGAAAGACACGGAACAACCATGATGGTTTGATGGCATCGTTTACAAAGAGGTTCCCGGAGGCTGTGGCGACAATTCCGCCAATGGAGGAAGAAGAGGTGGTGGAGGATACAGCGACATTTGCCGCGTCCACCGCTGCCAGCGCGCAGGAAAAAGAGAATGAAGTTGAGGGAGAGGGCGTCGGTGTTGTTGGCGCGTAAGGAAAGGTCGTATGGTGGTAGCGAATTCATTTTTTTTTTTTTATGTTGTTTGTGTGTGTGTAGGTCTCTTGTCACATTTAATGATTTTTATTTCTTGTTTAACTTCCGCTGCTGCTGTTTCTGTTGGTTGTGATGGCGAGAAGAAGAAGGGGAGGGGAAGGATGTGGAGGGGTGCGATAATGTGAGCACTGATCCGATGATTCCTTTTTTGCTTTGTTTGCACTCTCTGCTGTGGAAGGAAGGAAACTGAAGGGAAAAGAAGGAGGCGCCTTCACCTTCACCCGCATTTTAGAAGCGACTCCTTTGTCCCTTGCCCAATTTTTTTTTTTTGTTGTTGTTGTTCGATGAAATCCTTTTACTTTTTGTTCTCGTCGTTGTTTTTCTTAATTGAACGGTGGGCTAATTGTAAACTCTTCTCACTGACGCATCTCTCTTGTTTTCGCATCTTTTACTCACACAAATGGACCCTCTCCATTGCCCTCTTGCTCTTGCTGGTGCTGCTGCTGTTTTTTTTCTGCGTGTACGGCTACCGCAGTGGCTCGAAGAGTGAAGTGCGCCAGAAATCCAGATGGAGAGCAGCTCCCATAGAAAGTTAATGGCAAAGCAGAGGCGCCCTGCAGCGGTGGCTCGGTTCCTAAACATGTTTTCGTTGGAAGATCGTCATGCGGCTACAAATACGTTGCTTCTTCTTGGACTACGAGCATACAAACAGGCTGTCGCGACCGCGCCGGCCGACCTACACACCCTGCGCTCTGTTGTGGAAATGTCGTTTGTAGAGGAGGATGGCGCGGCGGCCGGTCGTGAGACGGAGAAATTGAAAGTGAATAATAGTAGGGACAAGGTGAACGATGCAAATAACATGTGCAATACGCATTCATTTGATGTTGTTAAAAAGGCGACTTCTGCCTTACCTCATAGCGGCTTAACGCCATCGCTAGCGTCATTACCTCCTGAAGAAAGAGCCGCGAAGGGAACAGGTGAGGCGCAAACATTCGGTCTTAACAACAGTGGTGTTTCTTTTGCCAGACTGGCGCCAAGAGCAGAAACACCAATGCCGAAGCTAGAAACAGGCTCTATGGATATTCAAGGGAGTTTCAACACAGGGTACCCGTGCCCAACGAGTTTTAATGACTGCGGCTTTAGCTGTAGCTGCAGTAGTAGTAGCTGCGGGTGTGTAAGCAATGCGCATAAAAGATTATCGTCTCAGTCTCCGGCCTTGAGTTTTATATTGAACGAGGCCTTGGGAAATGCGTTGAAGAAACGCATTAGGTCCAATCATGCAGGGGAGGCAATGGACAGCTCTGCAGTTGGAGTCGCAACCGTCTGTCCAGAAGACGATAAGTTAACCAATCACGATTCCATTTTCTGCAATGTTAGCGAGGGGGCTAGTGAAGAACAAAGTCATGCAGTGGATCCCACGGTGTATGTCTCTTTGAATAGCACAGTTGTTCCTTCTTCATGTTGCGATTATCATTATTACCCCCTGAGGTTTCTCCAGCATGTCATGAAACGCATTGAGGACACCCGGGGAGTGCGAGAGAATCCTGTTCTTGTCGCGTCTTCTATTCCACAGTCTGTGGCTTTCTACACGCTTCATGCAAGCTTTGAAAACCTTTATAGAAGTTTGCTGGTATCTTACCATCTCTCCTTTAAGAAGGGCAAGAGCTCGTTTCAGCAGAAAGAGAAATTAAATTTGGCATTTACGTAACCCATTCGGTGGCTTTTTTTTTTTTGTTTTTTATGGTCCTCTTTTATTATTATTATTATTATTATTTCAATGCTCACAATTTTATCCGCTCCTGAGAAGAGGAAATAAGAGAAAATTGAGTAAACTATTTTTTCCTGGCGGCGGCTTTATGTTTACAATGGGTTTCTCTTCCTATTGTTTCTTTTTTTTACAACTTAGGCGTATATTCATTTGCAAAGGCAATACAACAATCATAACCGCTTGTCTGGTGAAATATGGCTGAAGGTAGTGCGGTATTAAGAGGATCCAGCAACCACAAGGTAACGCTTGTCACTGGCAACGATGGAAAGCGTCGAGAGGTGCAAGCATGTCTTGAAGGGCACGTGCTTGTCGAAAATGTCAAATTGGATCTACCTGAGATTCAAAGTGACTCGGTCTTTGAGATTAGCCGAAATAAAGCCCTCACGGCATATGACATTATCAAGAGTCCAGTGCTTGTGGAAGATACTGCACTTTGTTTTGACGCACTGGGAGGCCTACCAGGCCCGTATGTGAAGTGGTTTTTTGAACGCATCGGTCCTACGGGGCTTATCAAACTTCTTGAGGGATTTGACACTCGGCGGGCGTATGCTACGTGCGTCTTTACGTACTGCGCGAGCCCGGATGTGGTGCTGCAGTTTGAGGGACGATGCGACGGCAGGATTGTAGAGGTGCCTCGCGGGGAGGGTGGATTTGGCTGGGACTCCGTCTTTGAGCCGGATGAGGGCTGTGGGCAAACTTATGCAGAAATGCAGGATGAAGAGAAGAACCGGATTTCACCGCGTGCGAAGGCCCTTGTGGCGCTGAAAGCACATTTTTGTCTTTAAACTTTTTTTTTTTTTTTCGGTGCGTGTACCTCTTGATTGTCTTTGCTGTCATTATCATTGTTATTTGTTTCTTTTTTTTTTGTTCTTGTTGTTGTTGGTCATCCTTAAAATAATTTTATGCGCATTCTTTTTTTTTTTTTTTTTGCAATATTCCTCTACTCAAAGAGCACCCAAACGTTCCATTTGCAAATAAAATAAAATAAAAAGTGAAATTGAAATGCATCTGTGCGTCCGCATGCGGTGTGCTCTGAGGAGTCTCTCCGTTCTATGCCTTTTTTTGGTACTTGCGACTGCGACAGTTTCCGCGGAACGACTTATGGCCGGGTGGGATCCATTCGCAGTGGCGGAAGAAGAGGGGTTATTGAAACAATTAAACAGCCTGCCGCAGTTTAACGCCAAAAGCTGGTTGAAGGAAGGTGCTTCTTCCCGTGGCGGCAAACCGACTGTCCCCGTCAATACGCAGGTTGTTGTTAATGTGCCGACAGCCACTGGGGAGCGACGATTTGTGCTCTATGTTCCCGATTCTTACATGCAAAACGGCAATTCAACGGCCGCGCTTCAACTTTACTTTCATGGCCTAAATGACCAGTGCGACAGGTTTTTGAATGCCATAAATGTCATTGAGCACGCGAAGAAAACAGGATTTGTACTGGCAAGTCTCTGCGGCTCCGAGGGAGCTATCGGGACCGCGTGGAACGCCGGTACCTGCTGCGGCTTCTTCTCGGAGAAGCAACCCGACGACTTTGACTTTGCCGAGAAAGTTGTAGAGTCTGTTTCAGCCAGTTTGGGTGTTCATTTCACAAGAGTGATGGCTGTTGGCTTCAGCAATGGAGCCATGATGGCGGAGGGACTCGGTTGCCGGAAACCAAAGCTGATTCGCGCCGTTGTGTCTGTCGGCGGTGTTGTTGTCCTGCGCCCCGGGAATGAAGCCGGTCTCAATGAGTGCAGCCGTGCCCTTCGCACAGACAACGAGGAGGGCTACCGTCCAAGTGTGTTGATGGTGCACGGCAACCTGGACGTCGTTGTTCCCATGGACGGCGACAGATTTTTGGGCTTCCCGCCGCTGAACACCAATGTCAGGTCCTGGGTGGAATCCAATGGCTGCAAGAAAGCCCCCAAGACCTTGAACACCTCCAACTACGAAACCCGAGTTTACACGGACTGCACATCTGTCTCCGATGAATTTGATTCTCGCATTAAAAGTTATTGGATTCGCGCCAAAAGTGCCATTAAGGAAGGTCTAACCGGTCAGAAAACCTCTTCTACCCGTCAGTCTATTGTGGAGTTTGTGCTCGCACTTCAGGAAGGCCATAGTTGGCCTTCGGACAAGGAATTCTCGACAACAGAACACATATTTGATTTCGCTCAGCGCGTATTCTTCAGTGGTTAAAGGGCCATTGAATATGTGGGAGAGGTGTAAGACATTTTTAGGAATTTCTTTAAAAAAAAAATTCGGACGTTTTTTTTTTTTTCCTTTTTGTTTCATTCTATATATCTGCATGCATTACAAATGCATATTCTTTTTCCCTGAAGGTGAGGCGACTGAAGGGCTGCTTGAAAACAAATGAACCAAAAGCAAAAGAACATAAAAAATAAAAAGAAAAGAAATACTGTTGATCCTGAGAACGATTGGTTTATTGGAAATATTTTCCTTTATTGATTTTTTTTTTTGTGTGTGTGTGTGTGCTTGTGCTCCTGGTTTAATTACTACTAGAACGTAGTTTTTTTTTTTTTTTTTGCTTTTTTTTTTGTTGACGCGTGACGAAAACTAATTTCCCTTTTTTTGTGTGTGTGTGTTTTGCCCTTTTGGCCGGGGAATCACTGAGGAATACTCAAAGGGAATTGAAGTGTCATTTGAGAGCGACGTGTGTGTGTGGGAAAAAATTGACATGCAAACTGGAGAGGGGAAGAGGTGGCTGCCATGGTGTCTTTGCCCATGAAGAGAAGGGAAACAGCAGCAGCCGTAAGTGAAAGTCTTTTTTTGTTTTATTTTATTGACCCTTCTTTTTTTTTCTTTTTGTTGTAGAGTTAAAAAAAAAAAAAAGAGGAAGAAGAAGCAAAATAAAAGATGCCCAAGTCGAAGCGTGCCAAGATTGTTCCACTGACGAAGACACGTGCCAAGACGCGGGAGGACAAGGACAAGCTCATCAACAGAATCCGCAAGGCACTCGACGACTACACGGATGTGTACTCCTTCACGCTCTCAAATGTTCGCACAAACATTTTGCAGCAGATTCGCGAGGAGCGCAAGGGTGACAGCTGCCTCTTCCTCGGCAACAACAAATTGATTATGATTGCTCTTGGCCGTGATGAGGAAAGCTCTCAGCGACCGAATCTGCATAAGCTGTGCAAATTCCTTGTCGGTTCCTGCGGCCTGCTTTTCACGAACCTGCCAAAGAAAGAGGTGAAGAGCTATTTTGCCTCTGTTGGTGCACAGGTGTACGCGCGTACGGGGCAGACGGCGACGAGTTCACTCGTGCTGCGCGCCGGACCCCTGCCACAGTTTACGCACAGCATGTTTGACCACCTGTCGAAGCTCGGCCTACCCCTGAAGCTTGACAAGGGCGTCATTGTTCTCCTGCAGGACACCACCGTCTGCGAGGCTAACGACACTCTCAGTGCAGAGGCCGCTCAACTGCTGAAGCTGTTTGGTATACAGTCTGCGGAGTTTAGGATTGATCTGACGGCGCACTGGGCAAACGGCGCCGCTAGCAGGATTGTCGGAAGGAATGAGGAGAATGTAACTGGAAAGGCCTAATTTGCCTTCAATGCAGTTACGCACTTCTCTGTCTGTGCTTTATAAGTCGATGAGAAGTGATACTTCTAGACGATCCAACAATAACGAACACAAAGAGGAGGAAAAGGAGGAATGCGAAGAAGGTTTGAATATATTTTTACCCTGTGTGTGTGCGTGTGTGTGTGCGTGAATAAAGAGTCTAACGCGCTGTTTTTTGCCAACGGTTAAGAAGTGCATTGGATGTGGCCAGCACATTATAAAATGAGGATGAAAAAGGGATGAGTCCCATGCGTGTTGTCAAGATTCCATTGCGTTACTCCCATAAAAGGTGGGGAGGAATAAATGAAGAACAACAACAATTGAGATGTGGATGAGTGTTGCTCCTGCGCTCTGAAAACTTTTCTAATGCTTTAATTTGCCTCCATCTTCTTTATGCCCTTATGCTTTTCTTTCTTTCTTTCTTTCTTTCTTTTGGAGAGCACGAAGCGAAAAGCCAGGGGCTGGCAAAGGGTTACACCCTCGGCTGAGGGAAGGGCGCTAAAAGGGAAAAGATCACTTTGTCTTAGGGGGAGTTTATGAAACTTTACCGTGTGGGGGGAATACTCAACCTTGAAAATCTTGTCGGTGTGTATTTTTTATTATTGTTGTCTTGCCTCTTGCTTCCGGTTTATCAACCTTGAAAACAACACGTGCAATAACACAAACACGAAAACAAAATCCAAAAAAAAAAGGAAAGGGGCCATATAGCGTGCTGCGGTAAGATGCAGGGAGATTCAAATTGCACGCCAAGGGAAAAAGAAGAAGAAAAAACGCGGGTTGAGGCGATGGGTGACGAGAGGTCAGGGGCCAAGTACGAGCTACAGAAAAATGTGCTTCTTAAGGCAATTCGGCCCGGCGGGCTTTTTTACGAGTATGTTGATAGGGGTCCAGTGGAGATGCTATGTGTCCCACATCAGTTGTTTTTAGAGTCCAGTGGTATCGCTCCGTACCTACGCCTCCCTTCAACCCACTCTCACAATTCAAGTATTGCCACGACTACGCTGAGGATTGGTGAGCGTGATGTTGCTTTGACGCCGGAGCAGCACCAGCAAATAGCGTGCATCACTCGTGAGGCATTCCTGGACTATCACCTTGTGCACTTTGATGGCGTTGCCTCCCCGGCCTTCGTGACGCTTCGGGGGCAGCGTGGGGAGTTTTCTGCGGATTTGCAGAGCGTTGCGCGCTACGGACGCATTGGAGCGTCAAAAGTGCTTTGTGAGCTGAGTCCACTTCTTGAGCCTGACGACGCCTCCGTCAGTGCTTTCCATCCATGTAAATTACACATTCTTGTGCTTGCGAAACCGCTTATGGACGATGAGGAGGTGCACAACCTTCTTTCCGCCTTGCAACGGATTCTTCCGCCAATGGAAGGCGCTGGGACGGAGCAATGCCAAAACGACCAAAAGACTGGCGTGGAACAGACACCAGGACCGAGCTTCTTGGAGAACTGCTTTTCTCGAGAGGCCATCCTTAACTATCGTCGTACGGTTGCCAAGGACAATGACGTGCACTCCAGGGAGTTTCAGGAAATGATGAAGCTTCCTGTCTGCGCACCGGTTGCAAAAACGATTTCGAACTTTGTTGAAACTATCCAGCAGCGGGATGCACCACTTTTTGACAACACGGACGTCAGGCGGGCAATTTCATTTTGCTTGGATCAATGCAGACGGATACCTTTTTTTGCGAGGGATGCGTCAAAGCTTCATATTGCGGCGGAAGGCTTTGAGAAATACATCATGACGAAACTCTACTGGCGTGCCTTTGGCGTTGATCCTGAGGAACGGGAGCGCAACAAGGAGCTAAATGAAAGGTTGCGTCGGCTGTCCCCTCTTGTCAATGCGGAGGAACTGGACGCATTGAAGGAGGTTGAGGAACACCATCTGTGGGGTCAGGCAATGCTGGACTTGGAGGGCATGAATTTTTTTAAAACTCCTCGTGAAAAATTGCGCTGCGCTGTTCGAGCCTGTGAGGGGCTCGCAAAGGCAGTTTCCGCCGTTCTCGTACAGAAGAAAAAGAAATGTTTTGACGGGAATATTAATAATAATAATAATAATATTGGTAACAATGATAATAGCAAAAGTATGGATGAAAATCCTGTTGTTTTTGGCGCCGATGAGTTTCTTCCCTGTTTTATGCTGCTGGTTCTCAGAGCCTCTCCCAGGGACTATTATTTACACGTGCATTACGTGAAGCGGTTTCGTGACGCCAGTCTCATTACTCCTCACGAAAGTTACTGCCTCACGAATTTGGAGTCCGCTGCGGAGTTTTGGCTCTCATACACCACCTCCTTGTCACGCCAAACTGGCACCAGCCGCCCATCAACCCCTCAAAAAACAATTGTTGAGGATCTTTTTATTGCACCTGTTGCCACGTCTTTCATAGTGCAACCTGCGGACAAGGACGAAATATGCGCCGTGGCCCAGCAAACAGAAAGTAAATATGGGCAGCTTTCGAATTCTTCTTTCCAGCATGACTTCTTTTCCCTGACGGGGGATGTGGTGCCGGAGGGCATCAACGTGGCGAAGTTGCTGTTAGAGGAGAGAAAGCCGTTTGAAAATCTTACAGTGGCGGAGCTGCGTGGGATTGTTGAGGAGGCACGGCGCCTATTGGCTGAGAAGCATAAATCTACGCAGACTGGTAGTAAATCGCCGGATTGAGTGACTTGGGTTTGTGTATTTTACCTTAAACGCATCACGGCCTTCAATTTTTGACATGCTTTTCCTTCTCGCAATCTTTTTCAGAATGACTTTTGCCTTCGTGACCCGCAAATTTTTCCTGAGGAGTCGGCCTCTGCGTCCGTGTGTTTATCTGCACGGTGTGGTTCTCCATCCCGTGGTGGAGTTGTTTTCAGGTGACACCTTTGGATGTTTTTGAAGTGCGTTTTGACTGCTTTCCTTCTTCCATGTGTTTTCTCCTCCTTGTTGTTGTTGTTGTTGTTTTTTGTGTATGCTTGTTTGTGTCTTGTTGCCGTAAAATTTGGCTGCTGTTGTGGCTGCTGTTTCTCGCTGATTTTATTTTATTTTTTTTCCTTTCTTTCATCTGCTTTAAAAACAAAGCCAAGGAAGAGGAAAAACGTTAAGACGTCTTTGTTTACATTCTTTACCACTCCTCTGCGCTACAAGAAGAGGCATGTCATCTGCCCAAGTTGAGGAGTTGGAGAGGCGTGCTTCCGCTGCTGAGGTGGCCATTGAGGAGCTCAAGAAAAGCATGCAAGCGCGGCCGCAGAGCGGGGCGGAGAATAATGCGGCGCTGGAGTTAAGGCTTCGTGAACTGTTGAAGTTGATGGAAGAGGACCGTCTTGAATGTGAAGTGATTCGTGTTCAGCGTGATGAGTTAAAGGAGGAGAATGAGCGGCTTAGGGCTCAGGTAATGAAGCATGAGTACCGCATTAAACATCTTCTTCAAACAATTAACGAAATTGAATCAGGGAAGCAGAAGAATTGACGCACATTACAGAAGTCCGTTCACTCGCTATTTTGAAAAAAGAAGGAGGAAAAAACAAAAACAAAAAGAGGTGGGGAAAAGCGGAGTGACGGAACTCTTGCTTAGAAACTGTTCCAAAATCGGATTTAGACAAGCGATGTGTGCGTGTTTGTGTTTGTGTGTGTGTGTGTGTGTGTGTGTGCATCCACGTTTAAGATAAATAGCTCCTTTCCTTTGTTGCGCAAATGATTTTTCTTCTTTTTTTCCCCCTTTTACTACCACGATGCGTGTGGGAAGGTCGTTTGACTGTCAATTTTCCTCCTTAATGATTGCACATGCTTTTTCCTCGATTATCCGTGTTGCTTTTTCTCTTTTTTTTTTTTTTTTCCCATTATCCCCTGTATTCTTCTATTCATTCTGCTGTTCCACTGACCATTGGCTGCGGACTGCGTGGATAGAAAGGAAAAGGAAGGATAGGGATAACAAATAGAAGGGCGGCCTGGCCAAGTGTCTTTTTATTGTGCTCGCGTGTAAGTGTGTGGGCTTAATTTTTATTTGTGTATTGCGCCGTGCAGGAAGCAAAGGAGGGGGCGCGTCTTCAGAGTGTGTACCGCTGCAGTGTGAGCTGCACACCACGACATCGTTTCTTAAAGGGGGGCGAAGAAAAGTTCCACCGGATTGAGAGGAGGTCCTCACAGTAATAAAGTTAAGGGACAGAACCAATCAGTCGAAGGGAGAACTCAGGGAACGGAAGACAAGTTGGGAAGGAAGGTTGTGGGGGAAGAGGAGGAATCTTCAATTAAAAAGAAAAGGGAAGTTTTACCGGGAAAGAAACAGATTATTTATTTATTTATTTATTTATTTTTTCAGAGGAAGACTGAGAGGAAGAAGGGGAGAAAGGAAAAACCAACACGAAAGGCACTGACGAAGAAGAAAAAGAGGGATAAAGAAGGATTCAGGAGAAGAAGGAAGAAGAAGAAAAAGTCACACCGACTGAGTTAAGAGAGCACGCGGAGAACGTAAACCAGTAATTAACTGGCGTTTTCCTCGTTCTTTCTCCGTTGTGTTTCTGGCTGTTATTGTTGCACGTGTGTTTCTACCACAAATACGCACACACACGCCTCTATTCTTTCTCTTTTCTAAGACTTCTGTGTGCGCCCTCGATATATATATATATATTCTTGTCAACTCTGTTTTTGCCTTGGGTGGTGTTTTTGTCTTCTAGTTGACTCTTTTTGAGTTTTCTCCATCTTGCTTTGGTGTACTGTTGCCTCTCAGAGCCCTTTTGTTGTTGTTGTTTTGGAGGGGGGCGGGGGAGTTCCGAGAGTGTTTTGCTCCTTACCATCGATTGTTGCTGAGCCGTTGTGCTGGAGCCTCCCCTATCTTCCACCAACAGTTCTGTTTGTTTGTTTGTGGGAGGGCTCAGTTCATAGGCCAGCCGTTGATACCGCGTCTCGCTGCGCCTTTTGTGTGAAAAGGAAGGACAGGCGGGGGAGAGGGGCAGTGGCCATCATTGCCAGAGAGGGAGAGGGAAGGAAGAGGAATACTTGACGCGGTACGTGTGAGACACAAACACTGAAAACAAAAACAAAACAAAACAAAAAAGAATTATTGGACGAGCGAAAAGAGAGAAACCTGAAAAAAGAAAAAAAAGAAAAAAAAAGGTGACGGGAGGCGAGTGACTTTGACTGGAGCTCAGAGGGCATTCGCACCCACAAGCAGAGGTGCTCATATAATTTAGATATAAACGCACTGCCTCCGAATATCAGGCGTTTCTCTGTTGTAGGCGTGTGTCTGAAAAACACGTGAGCGAGCGGGGAAAGAGAGAAAGAGAGAGAAGGGAAAAAAAAACAAAAAACGGCAATTGAAAAAGTGGTGGCAAGCGAAGCAGAAAAGAGACCGGCTTTTATTCTCACTTGTTTACTTCCTTTTTCTTTTCTTTTTTCTTTTTTTCTTTTTTTTTTTTTGTCAGCCTTTCTTTTTCCAATTGTTTTTTCTTTTTTTTTTTTTTTTTTTCTTTATTATTATTATTATTGTTATTTATTGTCCCTTTATTCAATCAATTGGCTCCTCCTGAGTCGCGCTTTTGTTTTGGCCGTTTGTTTGTTTGTCAGCTTATTATTACTTTTTGATCACCTATCAGCAGCAAAAATAAATAATTTAACAACAACAAAAAAAAAAAAGAAAGAAAGAAAAACTCCGGCGTGAGATCTTTGCGGCTACTCGGAAAGAGAAAAAAAAAAAAAGGGAAAGTGTTGTGGTGTTGTCTTAGTTACGAACACGTGCGGGCACATCGCAGCAACTCTCCATTTAGTTGAAATTGAGCAAATCTCGGCATTCGCGTCGTGTTGCGTTTTTTTTTTTTTTTTTTTTTTTTTTGTGATACTGAAAGTCATTCAATGACGCGTGTTGCCTCCCAATGTTTTCTTACGGCGTCACATGTTCTTGAGAGCCGCTTTACCATTCACAAGGATTTGCCTCTTATTTCAACGTCTCTGGACGAGGAGGTGGATCTTTTCTGGCGTTTTGTTATTATTTGTTTGTGGGCGTTTTGCATTTATATGCGTGGATATGACACGATTCTCCGCGGTTGTTCCCCGATTGCCTTGGAAACAGTGATCCTGCTGTTGCGCGTCCTTCTTTTGGGAGATGACATACTTATAAAGCGGGAGGAACTGATGGCGCTGCCGAACGGAATTGGTCATATCCATCGCGTACATAGCGCGCCGGGTGCTAGTGTACGCAATGGAGCACTGCAGCAGAGGCAGAAGGAGCGTATAGGACCTCGAACGGCATTTGCATTGGAACTATTCATATGGTTTCTCTTGATTATTTTCACGATCGACCTTACAAACATTAATCGAGCCTCGGTGGCGCTCTTTCTGGTGAATACGCTTTACTGGGCTCGTCTCGGGCCAACATCGGTGGTGTTTTTTGTCGGAATTTATGTACTCATGACTTATTTTTGTTGCCCCGCATATTCTTTGCGAGATTCATTTCTGACGCTTTCGGGTCAGCGCTCATGGGTATACAGAGTGTATTCAAGTTTTGGCTTGGCATTTTCATTAACTCTGTTTCTTACGGAAACTCAATGTCTTCAACGCGTTCGTCGCGCAGGGTTGTGGAAGGTCCTCATGATCCCTAGGGCGTTTGAGAAGAATGTTGCCAACACACCGCTTCGGGGGTTCTCGGCTGTGATGCGGCATTTAACAAACTACCTTTTTTTTCTGGGATTTAACTTCTACATGGCTTTAAGCGTGTGGTTTTCCAGCATGATGTTCGAGTGGACTTCTGACACATCATTTACAGGCATTGTTTGTACACCGTATGCTCTTTCCGCTATTTTAGGCGAGGGATGGACAGGGGATTTTCAAAGAATGCTGCGAGAAGCCATTGCTTGCCTCTCGATGTATCTTGTCATTGCCATCTTTATTGTCTTATTTGTACCTACTGACTCATTGTCCTTTGCGGCAAACGGGGTGTCCTCGGCATTTTTTGTCCTATATATGGCTGCACATTCCCCTCGGCGTGTTCACTCTTCATTCCCACTAGTGATGGTTTGGCTGGGGATGGTGGCTGTGAATGCTTACTGGCACGTGAATCGTGTTGGGGTGAATGCGATGCACATGACATGGTACAAGAAATTGTTGTGCGTCAACACCATCACCTCTGGCACTCTCTTTATGCTTTCAACCGCTCTCCACGTATACCGATGGGAGTGGCCTATTGACCCATCTGCGGCAGCGTTAACCGCGACCATAAACAGCGTGACTAGAGTGTCACCATCCACGAGGACGGATCATAAAGTAAAGGAGAAAACCAACAACAGCACCTCGTTGATGTCAAACACGGTGGAAAAATCGGCAGCTATCATGTCGACGCCGTCAACAGTTTCCATGCCAGGGAAGAAAGCTTCTTATAGCATTGAAAAGGTGACATCCTTTGCGCTGTCACTCTCGTCATCTTCGACGTCGCGCCCTGTGGAAAATGTTGCATCAGAAGTTTACCCAGAGGCCTCGATAAATGCCACCGAACCTGAAAAGTGTGATGCAATGAGTGGAGGAAGCATAAGACCGTCTTCATCATATCAATTTGACAAGCCGACGACGATTGCCTTTGATGAGAGTGTCGTGACAGAGAACTTCTTGTGTGAGTGTGCTCATGAACCTCGAACAAATTCAGCTGCTTCTGAGGAGGAAGCCGAAGAGGAAGCGCAGCGGCAACAAGAAGAAGAAGAAGAGGAGGAGGCGGCACAATACGACGACGATGACGATTACTTGCCAAAACTTGCCGCGTCGGAAGAGGTTTTGCCGACGTCCCCTGTAATGAAAAAGGAAAAGAAAGAAGAGAAGGGAGAAGTGCAACGGGACACTTCTTTTGAGGAGACGTCGTCGGCACCCCTCCCATCTCAGCCAAGAAGGGGAAATGAAAACGAAAATGTTCTTTCCTCCATTGCCGCCTCGGACTCTCTGTCCAAGATGGAGCCCTTGTCGCAGTCTCTGGCATTATCATCACCCATGCAAACGAGTAGTAGCGTCAGCAGTGAGGAAAGGAGAGGCAGCAGTGCCGGGAAGGGAAAGAAAACGTCAGAACGTCTTGCCGCAACTGAGGGAGGGAACTGGAAAAGAAACAAAAGCCATGACCGTTTTGCAGAAACGGTCGTTGACAAGATTCGGTCGTCAGAAAATGTTTCCCATTCCTTGCAATTGGTTGAAAAAGTTGTGCAGCCTTTGCCTCTGCGGGGCACGCAGCAGACATCGACACAAATACCGCCTGAATCCACAACCGTATCCAATAAAACGTCAGCTACAGCTTCTTTCTCGCGTCGTGCAGCATTGGAGCCAGTGGTAAATGCTCGCAGGGAGCATGCTCCTAATAAAACATCGCCTAGCGGTAAGGAGCCCATCGCTGTTTCAAATCAACAGTTGCCTTCGCAGGTATCGGCCCATAGGGTGACGAACACGGAATTTACTGGGAACAAACGGCAAAACGGTAAGAAATCTTCATCACGTGGGGATACGACAGCCACTGAATTCAAGTCCCAGAAGACACTCCCTTCACAGAGCAAGAGGTCAGAGGACAGGCGGCGCGGGGCCGAAACATCAGCGGCGGCAAGGGTTGCGGCGAGTACCGCGTCAGCATCTCGATTAGGATTGAAACCAAATAACGATCAACCGTCTCAAGGGAATAAAAATGTGGGCGGGGGTGGATGCGTCACTGCTCCGCAAATACGATCCGCGCAAAACCATTTGACATCAAATTTCTCGAGTTCACTCACGGTTGCAGCGCTCAAGTCGCTTACAGAAGAGAAGAAAGCATGGGATGGGCAGCAGTCATCGGCTCGTGACGAAACCGATGAATTGTCGTTGCATTTGAGGGGAAAATCTACTTCTGGCACAAAGAACAAATTTAATTCCCGTGTGTCGTCACAAGGTGACGATGATAACTCTCTGGATTTGGCACAGTTGCACCTTGCATCACTGCCCGAAAGCGAACCTGAAAGGAGTTCCTCGCGCCGACGTGGACCTACGCCGACGTTTGAGGCATCACGCTGCATACCACAGTCCACACTTCATTCCTTGGAGAATTTTGCAAAGGCTTATATGCCACGCTTAGATACTTCTGGTCTTAGGGAAACGGAAAGGCAAGGGGAAGCCGCCGACGGAAAAGACACACAGGGCGGTTCGAGTACGGCACATTTATCGCCCACCACGGTGAAACATGTCTCGCTCCTTGAGGCAGCTGCATCTGCGGCTGCAAGTCGTTCAGCTTCAGGTTTTGGGGAATCTCGGGGTGCAGTGCCTCAGCAAATGATGCCTCAAATGTTTGCAATGAGCGCTATTCGAGATGCACATGGTGCAGCTATCTACCAACAAGTGACACCCGCACTGCGACCCCATGTCGCGGCAACCACGCAATTTGACTCGCATGCAATGGCAATGCCGCAAACTGCGTCACAACAACAAATTCCCGTGGTGCTGGTGGCGATGGGTGACGGCCGACTAACCTACTGCCCCGTTGTTGCTTCCTCGTATTCCCCCGCACCGCACATCATGATGCAACCACAGCATATGGAGTCGGCTGCAATGCCACAGCAGCACCAACAACAGGGCATGGTCTATCAGCATGTTCCAATTTCCCATCCTCAACAGGCGTACCCTGGAGCTTGGTCACATTTAAGCCAGCAATTAAATGCACCAAACTAGCTGTATGGTTTGCATGTCCTTTCATCTTGTTTTGAATGGTGGCATTGAAATAAAGAATCCTTGGTACAATACTTTTTCCGTTTTGCCCTTGAGGAGAGGGGGGGAGGGAAGGGGGTCTCTTCTTCTCTTGAAATCCATCCCTGGCTTCCAAAATTCCCTATGCCTGTCTGTCTGTGTGTGTGCGCATTTTCCTTCCGCCACGCCTATCACCGGATACAGAAGAGAATATGAATACGGACAGTTGCGGTGCAAGACGGTTTGCAACGCGCGTGTCGCAGCAATACGTGCAGCTTTGAAGGGGAGGAAAGAGAGATGAAGAAGGAATTTTGACAAAATGGCGAGGGGTTTATTTAATGTTGTGTTCGTGAAAGGCAAGAGCAAATTACAAGAAACATTAGCACTTAACCACCAACAACCCCCCCTCAAAAAAAGGGAAAAAAGAAAATAATTGGAGGTTGTTGGGGATCTGCACGATTGAGGCAACAGAAAGGAATTTTACGATGGAGGAGAAGAAAAAAAAAAAAAAAAAGAAAAAAACAACAGAAATACGGACAAGGAAAAACGCCGAAAAGAGCAATGTATATATCATTATACATATCTTTTTTTGTATGGGGAGGTGGGGGGGGGGGGAAATGATGGGAAAGAGCGGTGTTGCGTTGCCATTCAAATTTTTCCCATTTGTCGTTTTTATGGTTGTTGGCCGTTTCCTGCACTTTTTTCATTTTTGCAACCCATTTTGTTTTTTGTTTTTTCTTTAAAGAAACACTTTTAAAAAAAATTATTTGTATATGCTTGTGCGTGCGTGTGTGTGTTTGAGGGAAGGAAAGAATGTACACGGTGCTGTGTATGTACAAAGGTCCTGCTGTGATCATTCTCTTTCCGTTAATCAAAACAGAAATCAGCATCCCCACCATTCCTAACGGAGCGACAACAGGCCGGTTGTTTGGCTCAGGGAAAGGGGGATGACAAATAATGAGGAATTTATAGGAGGAAGGGAAAATGTAAGAAATAAAAAGAAGTACAATGCTGAGAAAAGGGGACTTGAGATATTTTGTTTTTTGTTTTGTTTTGTTTTTTCTTTTATTTTGATGGGGGTCACGTATAAATAAATGTGAGGCACATGTCCGACTTGCGTCCTGCACTTTGAGGGGTCGGTGGCCGTGGGCGTACGAAAGGGGAGGGAAAACGGGAGATTTTGACCCTCATGGCAATTCACTTTCATTTTTTCTGTTTTTTTTTTTTTTTTTACTTTTGTTTTTCACCTTTTTTAATTTTTCGTCCGTGGACTCCTGCTGGCGCTACACATGTTTCATCTGCGAAATATTTGTGTGTGCGTGTGGATAGGTGGGCGTCCCCTCCTCTCCCTTGGGTGTTGTGGTTGCATCGGTAATGTGCTGTTGTTGGCTTCCCGAAAGAGGTTCTTTTTTTTTTTTTTTTACTTTTTTTATTGAAATGCAGCGAGAAAAATAAATAAAAAATAAAAGATGAAGGGGGCAATTGAATGAAAATGTGGTGGTTTTTATTCCACGGGGAGAGGGGCGGGAAATGGAGTGAGAAGGAGAGGCAATCAAGGGATGCGGTGTCAATGCACACCCACCCCCTCCTCGGGATGTGTTTGATCTGCTTTTCTTTCCGGTTCTTTCTTTCTTTCTTTTCTTCTTTTATTTTTCCATCATTTGTTATTTTTTTCTTCTCGTTGTTACGGTTATTTTTCTTTTTTTTTTCTTTTCCTTTATTTTGTCGTAAAATGATGATGATGGGGAGGAGGAGGGATGGAAAAAAGGCGGGTCGGGCATAAAAGAACTCCGCATGCATCGGTGCTCTTAAAAGAAGGAATCCGGTCTTCATTGAGTGAGAGGAGGAAGTCTAAAAAAAAAAAAAAGGAGAAAAAAAGAAAAGAAAGAAAATGAAGTGGTGGTGTGTGTGTGTGTGTGTCATTTTACTTATTCCCAAAAAAAAAAAGGGAAAAAAAAGATGATAAAGATAGGGAAAAAAAAAAAAAAAGAAATAGGACAAAAAAAGAGCAATGTAATTATCTTTTTTTTATATGGGGGGGAAGATGGGAAAGAGCGGTGTTGCTTTTTTTCCTGTGTTTTTTTGGCGTTTCCTGCACTTTTTTCTTTTCATTTTTGCAACCCATGTTGTTTTCTTTTCTTAAAAACAAAAACAAAAAAACTCTTTTTTTTTTTTTTTTTTTTTTTTTTTGTATATGAGCTTGGCGCGGAAGCCGTGCTGTGTATGTACAAAGGCCTGCTGATCATTCTCTTTCCGTTAATCAACACAGAAATCGGCATCCCCACCATTCCTACGGAGCGACAACAGGCCGGTTGTTTGGCTCAGGAAAGGGGGATGACAATACTGAGGAATTTATAGGAGGAAAGGAAAATGTAAGGAATAAAAAGGAGTACAATGCTGAGAAAAGGGGACTTGAGATATTTTGTGGTTTTGGTGCGTCCAGCTCTTTGTTTTTTGTTTTGTTTTGTTTTTTCTGTTGTTTGTTTGTTTGTTTGTTGTTTCTTTTATTTTGATGGGGGTCACGTATAAATAAATGTGAGGCACATTTCCGACTTGCGTCCTGCACTTTGAGGGGTCGGTGGCCGTGGGCGTACGAAAGGGGAGGGAAAACGGGAGATTTTGACCCTCATGGCAATTCACTTTCATTTTTTCATTTTTTCGTTTTCTTTTTTTTTTTTTTTTTTCTTTTTTTGGATAATAAATAAAAATAAAAGAAGGGGGAATTGAATGAAAATGTGGTGGCTTTTATTCCACGGGGAGAGGGGGCGGGAAATGGAGTGAGAAGGGGGAGGCAATCAAGGGATGTGGTGTTAATGCACCCCCACCCCTCATCGGGATGTGTTTGATCTGCTTTTCTTTCCGGTTCTCTCTTTTTTTTTTTTTTTTTCTTTAATTTTTCCATCATTTGTTATTATTTTCTTCTCGTTGTTACGGTTCTTTTTCTTTTTTCTTGTTTTTTTCTTTTCCCTTACTTTGTCGTAAAATGATGATGATGATGATGAGGAGGAGGAGGAGGAGGGATGGAAAAAAGGCGGGTCGGGCATAAAACAACTCCGCATGCATCGGTGTCCTTAAAAGAAGGAATCCAGTCTTCATTAAGTGAGAGGAGGAAGTCTAAAAAAAAAAAAAAAAAAAAAGGGAGAAAAAAAGAAATGAAAGAAAATGAATTGGTGGTGTGTGTGGGGAGTCATGTGTGTGTGTCATTTTACTTTTTTTTATTTTTTATTTTTTATTATTGCTTTCATGCGGAGAAAAACAAACGGTTTGTGCGTCTGTTATCTTTCTCGGTTGTTTTCCTCCCCTTTCTCTCTCATTTTTTTCGCCTTCATGCATGAGTTTGGTGCTTGCACCCGTCTTTTTCATTCTCTGCTTTATTTATATATGCTTAATTGGTAACTGTATGTTTGCCTCTAGACCTCCGTTTCGGAGTGAGTGATTGAGTGCGTGTGTGTGCGTGGAGGTGTGCTGCTCCCGCTCTTTCTTTCTGGAGACTTTCTTGTTCTGCTGCCGTTGTCATCGTCTTGGACGGAAGGGGGAGCAGCGTCTGTGCATGTATTTATGTGCCTTTTTTTGAGGGGGCATATATATATGTGCTTGTTGCTGGAGAAATGAAATTGCCTTTTTTTTCCTCTGTTTTTTTTTCTCTTTTTTTCCTTTTTTGCTCTGTTGTTTCTATTCAAGTGGAAGGAGAAGAGGAAAGAGGAGTGGAAACACACCCGCCCACACGGCGATTCCACGCTCTCCTAGTGCGACACGCACGGTTTGTTCGTAACCTTCAACGTCAGGGGAGGGGACAGAGAGACCGGCGCTCAGTGCTTTAAAAAGGGAGCGAAGAAGGAGCAGGAAAGAAAAAAAAAAATAGTTCGGGGGCAGTGAGTAAGGCAAGAGGCGGCACGTACGACCTCTTTATCTCACGTTTTTTCTTTCTCTTCCTTTTTTTTCCCACCCCCTCCTTGTCTCTTTATCCATTTTTATTCTTTGGATTGGCATCGTTCTTTGGACACCTGTTTTTGGTGGGTTTCCTGCTGTATTTTAGCTTATAGCGCATTTTTGTTTTATTCCTGCCCGGCTTCAATACACATCGACAGGACCGCAGCACGAAGAAACAAGAGTAACATTTGTTTCTCTTATACACTTCCAAAGGGGAAATACAGGCGGGCACGAGTACAAATTTGTTAAAACATTTTGGGCCAAAATTTTGGGAACGACCGGGAATTTGTAGCAGAGGTTGCCCCATGAACATTCGTGTCTCTGGAAATTGTAGGGGCCGCACTGTTGTTTTTCTTTCGGGATGGCCGGATACGTCGGAAGTATTTCGTGACAATATCATGAGTGCATTGGCACCACGCTATCGCCTCGTTGGGATTACTCTTCCTGGGTTTGACCGTATGTCGCCTCAGGTGCAGAGAGTGAAGAGAAGCCGGAAGAAGGAAGAGGCGGCGGAAAAAGGTTCGTTGTCTTCGAAAATGGATTTTCTGCGCATTCCACGAATGGGGTATTCATTTGAGGATCTTGTCGATTTTTTTGAAATTGCCCTTCTTGCGGGTGATGGAGCATCGTCCGCTCGAAAGACCCTTGCTTGTTGTACACGATTGGGGATGCATTATCGCCCACGAATTCTTGCTCTCACGACCATACTTTTTCTCACGAGTTGTGATGCTGGACGTTGGCGGGGACATCTCGGATCCGCTGCTAACGAAGGGTGGCGAATGCGACGATGGCGTTGGGGGTCGCATTTGGGCTCACTGGTGGAGATGTGTACATATTTTCATATGCCATGCAATCGTCATTGCTGCCTTTCTCATAATTCCCACAAGTGTTGGGAAGGGGATTTTGCGTTTTATTCTACAGATTGCACGTTGGCCGTCTTACAAGTATACACGTCACCTTTCTGCTTTGGGAAATGACACGGACGGGGAGGAAGAAGTGCTTATGGTGCCGATTTGTGCGCAAAAGAGCACAGTTGATGTTTCTCGAAAACCAACGCGATTTCTTGATGTTTTCAATGCGCTCTTACGTTTTACTGTTTTTGGCGGTGACTCCGAACAAAAGCAAGATGTAAGTACCCTGGCAGCATCTTTCTATCCAAGTCAATTTTACTACGCAAAGAGCAGACGGTTGTACACACTCCCGCCACACCCCACTGCCAGCGGTATTCACTACACCCATTATCGGTACCGATCCGCAAGGACGCAAAAGACAAATGGCTCAGCCAGCAAAAACACATCCAATTCTATAACCACTCAGAATGGAATTCACCCACCCACGGCCCCGTCACACGATGACGAGGCATCACTGAATTTCGTTGAGGTGGATCCTTTGAATGGATGGATTTATCTCCGATACTGGATTTTTTGGATTTCACGCTTGTTACCAAGCTCAAGACGTTTTTTTATTCCCATTAGCGTCCCTGTTTTATTTCTTTACGGTACGGAGAAGCCAATAATGCTGCATTCACACGAATGGATTAAATACATTGAGGCGAAGGGAGAAACTGATGGTTCTGAAGTTGTGTCAGTGGCAGGCGGGCACTGGTTCTTTGCGGAAGATAAGAACAAGGGACAAGTAACGAAAAGGATTGCAGAGTTTTTGGATGCAGACCAATTTGAGACACAGATTTCTCAATCATGGAAAGGCCATCTTTATGGTGAGGAGAGAGACAGCTACACATCCTACGTCTCTGTATAAAGGCATGCGCAGACGTACAGTGTAGGATAGGGATGAGGGAGTGGACAGAGTTTAACACTTACGAACGAATCATGTCTGCTTTTTTTGTTAAGGGGTTGGCGGTGAGGTCTCTTCTCCTTTTTTTTTTTTTTTTTGATTGTTAATGTTTTCCTTTCCATGCCGTGCGTTTTTATTGCCCTGCTATTTAACTGGCTCCGGTTTACTTGTCAATTTTTTGTTTCATTACTTGTTTTTAGTTGTTGTTGTTTTTTTGCTCCGCAGCTTAATCCAGCATTTTGGTTGTGGGAGCTGCGTGGCACGGACTTTCCCCACCACAAACAAACACACACACACCACTGACTGTTCATGAAAACTTGCGGCGTATTGAATTGGGTGTGATTGTGTTTTATTTGATTTAGAAATGCTTTTTTTTTTTTTTTAGCTTGTTTGCTTGTTTGGTTGATTTTTTTTTTTCCTTGAATTTGCCTACGTGTCTTTTTGCTGGAATGTTTTGCCGCCTGTTCTTCTTTGTCGCGGTTATCTTTCCCATCGTTGACATGAAATTTGTTCAGGAGGACACGACTGGCTTCTGTCTGGATGAATATTGTTGTTTTTTTTATGATGTTGTTTTTGTTTAGCTTTTAAAAGACACCTTGGAATGTGCTTGAGTAACCAACGGTGCTTCCAAAGGGGGTTGAAAACGGAGGGAGAGTGGTGGGGAACGCTCTCGTGTTGGACTTATGCATCCCTTCCCCTCACTTTGAACCGCCCGGCCACTTTGAACTCCCCTCCCGCTTCTGTTTGAAGTACTGTTGCCTGCGATGACTTATCTTCGTCTGTTTTTTTTTTTTTTTTTTTTTTTTTTGCCCTGCCGCTGCGGCACACACGATGGAAGAGAGGAGGGGTGAGTGGGTGAACGCACACGAACGTAAGAAAGGTGAGACTGAATGGATCTTGACAACACCGACACTACCACGAGTGGTGAAAATGACTTCCTGTTTGGCGACGGCTCTGCGGCCGCAGTGCCACCCTCTCTGCTCACCAGCGCCGCAGTGATTGATCTTGCGATGCATCCGCAGTTGCCAATTTTTGCCGCGGGTCTTGTGACGGGGGAAGTGGAGGTGCACGAGTACCGCGCAACGGAGACGAGGCGGCGGCCAATCACGCAGCAGTACTTCAAGGGTGACGGCTTTCAAGAAACAAACCCGTACAATATCCGTATGCATCCCAGGGGTTGTGTTTCCGCCATGGAGTTTACAGAAGATGGTAATTATCTCGTGACGGCAAGCAGTGATCGTACTATCAGTGTTTTGGACTGCGTGGCGGAACAAATTGCACTTCATATAGGAGACGGGACCGCAACGAAAAAGATGACCCCAGGCACCAATCAAAGGAAAAATGTTAATAGTAGTTCATCGAAAAGAGAAACTATGAAAATAAAGAAAAGGAATAAGAATCCCCACAAGTTTGGCATCTCTGCAATAAATGTATGTGATGTGAATTTGTTGGCCTCAGGTGATGATGATGGTATGATTGCTATATGGGACATGCGTCAGCGGACGCCGGCATTCCGTTACCATGAACACGGTGATTACGTCTCGCAGATGATCTACTTTTCTGATATTCGGGAGCTTGTCTCTAGCAGCGGTGATACCTGTATCGGCGTGTTTGATTTGCGTGGGGGCAAAATCCGTGATTACAGTGAGAAGAGGAAGGATGAGTTGAGCTGCTTTGCGTTTGTAAACAACACAGGGAACAACACGAGTTCTTTTATCCCAAGCATTGTGTGCGGAACCCCGAATGGCGGGCTTCCTGTGTGGAAGTTTGGTTCCTGGAGACGACCATATGATATCCTAGACCGGCATCCGGCGGAATGTGAAAGCATTATCTCTTTCAACAACCCCGATAGCACGTTTAACCACAACATCATTCTTACTGGAGCATGCGACGGTCTTGTTCGTGTAATTCAGATGTACCCTGTGCGTCGCAACCTGTGTCAACTCAGCGCCAGGGACTTTACCTACTCGCATAACAACTCTATTGGTGGGAAGAGCAGTGGCAGTTACGCCAATATGGCAGTACGTCGCCAGCGAGGCAATGAGGGAATTAGCCGAATGCGACTGAGCCACGACTCCGCGATGCTTGCGGTCTGCGGCACGGATAGCATTATCGATTTTGTTGATGTGCGCTTTTTGTCGAATGAGCGTGAATTGGATCAGTTGCGATCGCAGACTGAGAAGGGGCACTTGGCGGTACTGAGGGAGATGGAAAGGGAGCGGGAAAAGGAAGAAGAGACAGAAACATCAGAGTCGGAGACCGATGATGACGAGGATGACGAGGAAGGGGTGGAGAAGGAGTCTGGGCGGTGCATGAAGAATGCAAAAACAGCCAAACGCGGACGTGAGGAGGAGGAAGCCGGGGATCACAGCGATGAGGAAGCGAAGCCCAAGACGGAGCGTCAAAAGAAGCGGGAACGTGTTGCTGCTGCCAAATGGCTGAAGGAGGAGAAGCGAAAAAAGATAAACTTTGCATTTGAGAAGCGAAGGCGGCGTGTAAATGGCTTCTTTGGGGACCTGGGTTCTTGACGAGCAGCGTTTTTTTTTTTTTGTTTTTTTTTTTTGCTCCTGTGGACTGTGCGAGTGACTACAAACTAAACGAGTAAATTTTGTTATCTGATAAAATAATGAAGATTCTGGGGATTTTTTCCCACGTATGAGTCTTACTTTTTGTAAGAAATTATTTTAACACTTTTGTTTTTTTTTTACTCTCCACCTCTTTCATGTTTTTTTTTTTTTTTTTTTTTGTGTGTGTGAGTTGCAGCTGTTGTTTCTGTGTATTTCTCTTGTTTGGCGGCAGCGATATTTACAGCGGTGTGAGGGGCACGATGCCGCCCAAGAAGGAAGCGGAGGGGCCACCTAAGAAGAAGAAGGAGCCTCCAAAGGAATTGTGTGGCTGCGGCGTAGACACGTATCGCCCGCCGCCGAAAGGAAAGAAGAAGACTGCACCCATCGAGCACGCGGCGGGATGTGCGTACCAGCGCACCACCTGCAACGCCTACCCGCACCTCCCAAAATGTCTCGTCTGCCTCAACCCCTGCAAGTACTGCGCCGGCACAATCCGGTGGTGTCCGCACTGCTATGAAAACCGCTGCACCAACATCTACAAGCGCGTCGTGCACGGCCACGCGAAGCAAGAGTCACAAAAGAAAAACGTCGTATCATTTGTTTTTGCGGATGGAAGTAGCGCAGCACCGGCAGCTTCAGCCCGCAGTGCGAGAAAGTCCGTGTCACGCTGAGTGCTCCCTCTTTTTTCCTTTTTTCTTCAAGGCCCAAAGGGGAAGATACGCTCCGCACAAGGAGGGGGGAAACAGGAAAAGTTTGGCGAGGAAAAAAAAAAAAGGTTTTCACGACACTCAGCTTCACAACAACGATGAAAGACAGCAAAGAAAACATGTGATATATAAGAATATCATGTACATATTCATTGCCAACATGCATGGTCGCCATAATTGCCGGGGTACCGTCAACAAATCGCGGCGTGTGCTGATATTGTGGCTGTTTTTTTTGGGCAAACCCTCCTGCTTTTTCTTTTTTTTCACAGCAACAAAAACGGTAGACCACGCGGTGTTGTTGTTTGCATGGACGCAATTTGAACCCGAAAGGAAATGGTTTTCCTTTTTACCCGCAGAAAAAAAAAAAAAAAAAAGAGGAAAAGATTACTTTTACGGTGTTTCCCTGTTGGAATTTCTTTTCTGTGTTATTTTCTTTTGATTAAATAAATTTATATATTTTTTCTTTTGTCTTTTGCTTTTTTCCTCCCTGTGGTCGGGCAGCGCTTTGTGACTCGAATCACACCCCTCAGCCACTGGAAGACACCTGCGGGGCTTTTTTTTTTTTTTTTTGGAGGGGGTGATTTGTAGACTTGGTCTCAACACCTCCGTGCTGACCTCGAGAGCGTGGGTGGCTCATGTCCGTGGCCCTGGATGTGAACACCGTGACGGCGGCACTGTGGCCGACGGCAACAGGGAAAGTGACAAGGTCGACGGGGCAGATTTTAGAGGTCACTCTAGTCGACAGAGGAGCAGCGCGGTTCACTCATATTGCATTTGACCCCAGTGATGAGACGAAATTTTACGCGAGCACTAGTGAAGCGGTTGTGTATGTATTTTCCATTCGCAAGAACGACGTGAAACTCTTTGCGGTGCTTGAGCATCCGGTTGCATCCATGGCGTTTTGTGGCAATGGTGTTAATCCATTGTTTGTTTGTGCGACCGAAGATTTAACTCTCATCTGGTTAGACTGCAATACAAGCCGCATTCTTCGACGAGAGAAGACACCGCACCGTTATGCGATTCACATGATGCATGCACCAGTTGGCTTTGGTACTCCGTGGCTGGCCACCATTTCACGAGACGCACTGGTACTGTGGGACGCCACACAGATGGTGTGTCGAGTGAATAGTCACATAACGGTAGTACAGATGGTACATGAGTTTCTAAGCGTGCACGCGGAAATGAACTTTCTTGTGACAGTAGAATATTCTGGGGTTGTAAAAAAATGGGACCCTGTTGCTTTGGTGCCAATAAAGGCTGTCACAATTGCGATGCGCCCCCGTGCAGCAACTGCGTGTCAAACATACGTTGCTGTCGGCATGTCGGATGCAATTGTCGGTTTCTTGAATACCTCCGATTTGTCTTCTATTTGTTGTGTTCAGATTTCTACAGCACCCGCGGCAGCGCGTTCCCTCTCAATTATAAACGACGATCTTCTTGCCTGTGAACTAACAGACGGTACCATTGTTTTTTTGTTTGTCAGGAATTACAGCGTGTCCTTTGCAATGACTGCGCCTTGCGTTGGCGCTATACGACGAAGTCCCTCATCTTTCAGCGTATCAGGACCGTCATTTGGTGTCTTTCTACGTGGCAATCATTTGTCTCTCTTTCATCTCCCCACATCACGTCAGTATTATCTGCGAAGAACGAAATGGAACGGTGTTGACCCAAATCCGACGTTGCCACGGCAGGTTTATCCCTTTCTGCATAGGGGAGAGTACACACGTGCGCCGGCCCCCACAGAATGGGAGCAGACCGACATTGGGGACACCACTCTTCCGCGTCCTACCATCCAGTTGAGCAACAAACAAGTTTCTAAATGGGCGAAGGTGGATCTGCTGCGGTCATCTGCTGATGCGGCGGACAAAGCGGTTGGCGGCCACATTTGTGAAGATTCCCACAGCCAATTTGTAGAGCCCCTCAAGGGGCGAAAGAAGAGTGAAGAGTTAGAGGCCGACGTGATGAACAAGGAAAAGGAACTCTCGCAGCGGCCATTTTTGGATAGGGCATCGCGAGCAGCCAACGTGCAAAACTTGAAACGCCTGCTGATGCGCTATGGAGTGTTTCCTGATAAGTACCGATCCCATATTTGGCGTTTTCTTTTGGAGCTACCAGAGCGAAGCTTTACAGCGCCTCAGTACACCCAGCTTTTTAGCAAAGGGATACATAAATGCGTTTCCTCGCTCTTGAAGCCATTTCCTCTGGCCAACAAAAATATGCGAGCCGCCATGGAGAGAGTCCTGTCGATTTTGGCGTGGCATGTGCCAATGTTTTCTGTGATTCATTTTCTTCCCATGATTGTTTATCCATTTTTGCAATTATATGGGGACGACATACAATTGACAGTGGAGGTCGTACTTGTTGTTTTGTCCAACTGGGGACAGGAGTTTTTCCAATACTACCCCAAGCATCCAGTTGCACTCACATCTTTACTGAATCAGCTGCTACGTACAGAGGATTTAGAGCTTCACAGTTACCTTGAGCAGTGTGGAGTCATGGTTGAAGAATGGGCTTGGGAGGCGCTGAAATCTCTCTACACTGACATCCTTACCTCTGCAGCATGGTTACAGGTAATGGATCACGCATTTTTTAACAGACCACTTTGGTTTTTTCTTTTTTATATACGGTGGCTGGTGAATATTCGTGAGAGACTTATGAAATTACATGAGCATCGAGAGCTTTTAGATGCCTTCAGCAAAGTGCACCCCATTGACATCAACAAAGTCATTGCGGAAACCTACCAGCTGCATGAAAGGTGTCCTAAGGGAGAGCTGTCTAGGCCATACAGTGTGCTTCATGCATTTGTCGATTATGCATACCCCGTTGAGTGGAAATGTAATGAGGCTAATATTGCAAGAAAGTTGGAAGATCTTCAGCTGCCCTTTCAGCAGGAAGGAAAGGAAGAGGAAATTTGCCAACAAATTCATGGTATTCGCGAGCAAATGGCTGAGGCGGAGGTGCAGGAAGATGTTTTTTTTGAGAAGAAACGGGCCGAAATTGCAGCACAGCTCAATACTGCGAACGACAGCCTGATAAACGAGGTGGCCCATGAAAAGAAGAACCAGCGGGCACGTGAAATGAAAAATATGGCCCGTATTCAGGTGGTAGAAAAGCATCTTCAGCAGGCAGATCGTTTAGAAGCACTTAGGGAGGAGCTTGTCTCTGCTCGTGTCCAGATCGCCGATCTCGCGCATATCAGAGAGAGGGAAGCACAGCACTGGAGACGGGCGGAATCTCTGACGGACCACGAAGTGCGTCGCTTAGAAGAAGCTGCTCGCGAACGCCTTGCAAAGGCAAAGCAAGCAATTGAAGAGGAAGAAAAAAAGAGTTCTCTGCAGTCGAGGGAGGGTGGGGATTTCTCCGGTCATGCAACACCACCAACTACTACAACAAGAACAGCAGCGACGGACACTGCGGGGAACCCTCTAAGGACCTCTTTAAACGTTCTGCAGACGCCTGTAGAGCCAAGTGTTTCGGTACAGGCGTACCGTATGTTGCAGAGCAGTGTAACTCCTGCGGTGAAGGAGACACTTCGGCCCCAGAAGCCACAAGGAGAGCGTTCAGTAGGTGGGCAGCCACCCAATCTTTCTTATTCTCCAGTTGTGGCTTCCTGTGGCCCATTATACGATAATTTGCTTGATGGCGGTGTACCCAAGTGCCATAGTGAGAAGAGAAGGACAAGAAGCGTTGATATTCAGTCACAGAAACTGCGACCCTTGAGTGATCGTGACGAACGCTCATCGGCTGGAACCGTGTTGCTCCGTTCTCGCGATCCCATGGCCTACAAAATACCGCGTCCGCTACATGAAAAACTAGATAAGAAACCTAAAAGAGGGGGCTAAGGTCCATAGATGCAACACGGATATGCCGGCAGGGAAATGCCGCGAATGAATCTCTGGGAAGGGGCTTCTCTCTGTAGGTGGTATTTGGGATTACCACCACCATATTCTTTTTAAATATATATATATATATATTTTGGCTCTGTCTTTTTTTTTTTTTTTCCTCCACAAGACCCAGCTGCATTGCGGCGCGATTGCTTTTTTTTTCCTCTTTTTTTTTTTTTCTTTTAGTTTTCATTCCACTCCTCTGTGAGTGGTTGATATGTAAACGTCGGGACGAGCCGCCAATAGACACAGAAGGAGCGGTTTTTTTGGGAGGCACAGTTATATAAAGGCATATTGAGGCACAAATACAGCGTGTCTCCCATTGGCATGAGCAACACCCTCTGCCTTCTTGAGTTTGTGTGCAACCTGCGATGGGTGCTGTCATACGCAGTTCAGCGTCTTGATCCTGTTTTGGAGGCGCACTACGCCCATGTCATTGAGCGTGCCAGACAGGCTGAATCGGATGTTTTTCGATCTTATTCTTCGGTGAAGTCTCTGGTGGAGGTTTCACGTGACGCACTAACTTTGGCGCAGGAAGGTATTGTTTACCTTCTTGTTGCCGAGGGCGTACTGGGCCATTGCCCTCCCACTATGCATTCCTTCCTGCTGCGCGCAACGACGTCTTCCGACTCCCGCGCGTTGAGTGATTGTACGTGCCAGAGTGATGTTTCGAGTTTGTCCCAGTTACAGAGTGCAAGAAACGTGTACCAGGCTCATTTCTTATTTATCCGCTGGCTTGTCGCCGAAGGGCTTTTGACAGACGAGGAGCTGCTAGACTCCCTGGGAGATGAAGCGGATGCTTCAGCTTGTGGACAGAAAAGCCGCTTTGAGCTGCATGTTTCGATGGCGAAGAGTCTCTCCAGTGGGAGCCCGTTTGCTCTTCAAGCACATGTTATACTCACAAGATCCCTCATATTACATCACTGCTGCATAATTCTTTCCGTGGATGACATCCTGGCGCACGTCCGTTTTCTTGATCCCATGTGCAGTGGGACATTGGAAAGCATAGAAGACGCCCTTGTGTTCTGGATGCATCATGTCCTGAAGGTCATGCATGAGAAAAAAATGATAACTGACCAATTGTACGGATTTGCCGCGAAAGAGCTGGGAGATTCTCTTTATCACTCTGTGCAGAGTGGCGTCGTCCTCGGTCTTATTGTACATTTTTACAAGCAAAACATTCTTCCATTGAGTCATATTTGCACTGCATCAGGAGAAGGTGAAGAAACAACACGGTGCCGGGAACGTCGACTTCAGAACTGGGGTTCTTTGCTGCGTGTTTCGGAAGAGCTTGGTCTGTGGCCGTGCCTCTACGCAGATGAAGTGGAGCTGTATGGAGCTGTCGTGCTGCAGCTGCACGTTCTTCGGTTTGTGGGAGAACTGTTTGCGGTGCTTGCGACGCAGGCAGAAGACTTGGAAGAACACGGAGAGGACGCTTATTGCATGCCTTTGCAGCAAAAGAAAAAAGACGGGAAAACAGCGCAATCGCAGGGCATCATGGACTTTGCGCGTGAAAGAAAAAGGAACGAAGCCACTTTGAAAAATTGCCGTGTGGAAAAGGGGGACGACATCATTACTATGGGGAAAGGAGACGAGGCGAACGTTGGTTCTTCACAGAACAGCATTAGCGGTTATCCTTCTGTTCACAGTCGACGTCAGTACGATGTCATGATGGCAAGCCTGCAGATGCGTGGAGTGGAAATTGGGGTATCGGGTCCGCCAAAGTCTTATAGCAGCTCAATGAAGAAACGTGAGTCGGCGGGTGCAGCAAAAGCAAAATCAGGAGTAATAGTATTGGCATCTACACCATCAATGAGAGCAGCGGCAGCGGCATCATCATCCTCTTCATCATCCTCTTCCGGTACCGCTGGATATTTATCAAGAACAGATTCACGACGCTTTATTCCAGAGAAAGTGACGCTCTCAAAGAATCTCTCAAATATGGAGTTGGTCCAGTCTCATTTAAACTCTGCAGACGGAGTTATAAGAAGCGATGTGGTTCAAGCGAGGCAACCAATAGCCATAAATCCTCCGCGTTTGCCTTTTGTGGCCAATGCAAACGCTGTAACGACCTCTCCCATTTCCAGCAATTCCCCCGTTACCACTGCTCTTTCTGCAATTGCCCCAGCTCTCATTCAGGAAAGCTTTCATGTCACACTATCCATGGAATCTGTGGTAAGAGCCTCCAATCTGTATGATCAAGTTTCTTTTTTAGATGCGAAAGACTCGGGCAAATTGTTTTCTCCGAACTCCACTGTGAATGGAATCCATAGTAATATGAAAGAAAGAGCATCGTGCACGACTACAGAGAGTTCCTTTCCGATTAATTTAGCTGGGAATTTGGGTTCCCCACCCCAGAGTAGAGAGATGGAGACTGCCCGAAACCTCACGAGTTTGTCGAGGTCCCATTCAAATTTACGGGGGCAGGGGGACATGGAGTCTGAAGGTGTATCTCCCATGACTCCTGAATTAGCAACGGATCAGAGCGATGCACACTCTCAGACGGCTCTAACATCATTTAATCAGCAGCATCTTAGTTCTCTGAGGAGTCAATGTCAACGGCGTCGGTCGGAGGCGCACCGGAAGCTTGAGGAAAGATTGAAGGATTTACTGCGAGACCTTTCAGCAGTGGATCATTCATCCGTCCAATCTACAGCTGCTTTTCACACCCTTCTGCGGACTCTGGAAAAGCAGCAGGCGATAATTAAACGTTTGTCAAGTAGGCTTGCGGCGATGAACGGGGGGAATCCCTTATGGCATGACGATGTGTGGTCAGGGAACGAAGGGGCCCCTGGCGTCAGCGAGGGACCGGGGTCGACACATTTGCTTTGTTGCGAATTCAATTGTGGCTCAGATGATAGTGGGCAACATGCTGAAACGGAAATTTCTTCCATCCCTGATGCTTTCTTGGATGACGAGAAGGCTCTCCTTGACCACTGAGGAGTGACGCATGAATGCTGGCGGAGTTTGGTGTCAATACCGTTTTTTCTATGGGGTGGCCGTGGAAGATTGCGAAGCCACAAACGTTATATCTGGTAAAATTACTTACAACTTATTTTTTGACACCGTTGCGCACATCTATCACTTATTGCTCCGAAGCAAACACATAGAAAAACAGAGATGAACCTTGTGGCGAAGGTAAACGTTTGTACATCTTTTTAAAAATTATTTTGGTTAGTTAAAGAGATGGAGGAAGGGGGGAAGAGGAGGATGTGGTCGCCGAAGCGATGTCTCATGATGATCCTTTGTTCTTTTTTTAGTTGTTGTTTTGGATCCTGAGGCATGTATTGCATATAATTTATTGTTATGTGTCATTTTTGCTCCTTTTATCTTGGGTACTTCCGTTGTTCTTTCTCTCTCTCTCTCTCTCTGTGTGTGTGTGTGTGCTTCTTACTTGTGCGCAGGAGTTAACGGTACCTGGGGTTTTGTTTTGGAAAAAGCTTCTGTGAGGGTGTCATGTCGCTCAAATCCGTAGCGCCAGTCGAGACCGCGTCTTCTGGGGTCAGCAAGGGACATAATGTGGCGATTAATGGCTTTATTGCCTGGCTTCTCATCATCACCGTGTTCGTGGCGTATTTTTTTTGGGCGTTTCTTCCCAGGCATGTGCTTGACCGGACGCTTATGAGCTATTACCCGGACAAATATTGGGCTGTGGCGTTACCGGCTATCCTTGTCATCTCGACGGTGTACTATCTCTCCACCTCCTTTCTTTTAGTGTTGCACCGGACGAACCCTCTCACCGACGGATTCTGTGTTGCGGACGCGGATGCAAAGGAGGATTATCATGGCCTCGAAAGCCTCTCCGAAGCGAAGGAGGGTGTTCCTCCGATAACTGAAATACCAGTGAGCGTGGCGAGTCGACTTCTCTTCCAGCCGTGGACTTGACGCCACCTTTCTTATGCCTCTTGCCGGCCCTGCGTACAGGATTGCCGCGTCTGTTCTCTTTGAAATTGTTGCGCAAGGAGAATGACGACTACTGCTGGTTTTTTTTTTTTTTTTTTTGTGTGTGTGGTTTATTTTTGAAATGTTGTCGATTGTTTTTTGTTTTTTCTTTTCTAACATTGCTCTCCCCATCATCTGAAGAAAAAAAAAAAAAAGTTTTTCCCCATCCGGCAAAAATAAAAAAAAAAATAATAATAAAGGCACGTGGAAGAATGCGGCGCTCGGCATTTTGTCTGCAATCGGGGGCGCTCGCGATCTTGATCAACGCCGTCAGTACACGCCGGGTTGAGCTGGGGCCTGAGGATGTTTACAAGATCTGCGCCCTCCTCAAGACAAAGGAGGATGCGCTGCTGTTGCAGAAGAATCGTGCCTTTCTTTCTGGGTTGCACGCGGAGTATCAAAAGATGGATCCAGACGCCGTGACGCCATTTCAGCGAACATTCATTGATGGTGTGTTTGCCGCTCTTCCGTCAGCTTTGCTAACTTCTTCCGATCCCTCCTATTCCTCTCCCAGTTGCATAGATGATGAACGGGGAGCAAGGAACTCTGATGTGGCAGCTGTGTCCGGCAAGCAGAATCAACCATGGTCGACAGTGACAACGACGAAAGAAACCTGCGCAAATGGCTTTGCAACAGACATCAACAACACCAGTAATGATGAGAACAACAGCACCAGTAGCGGTGATAACACAGCCATCTCAAGAGGGAATGCGGTGGTCAGATCAGATGAGGAGCCGACCGTTGAGGAGCGGATTGCCGCCATTTGGGAGGTGGTGCAGGAGTACCAATCCACCAACTTTCTGGGTACCGATGGCAGCCAGAAAATTCAAAAACACTGCAAAGCATTGGAGCTCCAACTACGTCAGATGAAACCATTCGAAGTTGCATCCCTGGTACGAGCACTTGCTACAGTAAACTATCAGGACTATACCTTCACAAATCTTATTGCTCGTCGCGGATGTGAAGTGGCGTCAAAGCTCTCCCTATCCGAGCTTTGCAGAACGTATTTCAACCTGAGCAAGTTACAAAGCCATGATTCGATGGTTGCATTTGTGAACCAAATTGAAGCTCAAATGGATAAGTTACGTCACGAACAGATTCAGTTTGTCGCCATGGCACTCGAGAGACAACCACAGATTGCCTCTGCTCCAGCACGTATGGTTCCCAAACTCCTTGCGCGGGCTGTGTCTCATTTCTCCGAGGTAGATAGTGTGCTATACCATCGAGCATTATTAATTGTGGCAGCACGTTACAACTTATCACGTCATCCGGCGGTATTGAAAACAATTCAGGACTCCTCCAAGCATTTGGAAAACATTGCTGAACGTGATCTTCTTGCGATTCTACACTCCCTTGTCGATCTTGGCATTCCTGCTGGTACCCCAGGATTAGCAGAGCTACTCGGCAAGGCGGAGGCTATCGTCACCATCATAGATATTCGTCATGTGGATGTTCTTATGGACATTCTCTCGGTGCTTCCCATTGACACCAGCGGCATCATGACCAAATTGATGGATCGACTGATTGTAGATGGAGGCAAATTGTCTATACCGCAGATAACCTTTATTATGGACCTACTCTCGAGTTATCCTCCAGCAAAGGATAACGCATGCGTTGCAGCACTTGCCTTTTCCGCCTCTCTCCGCGCCGAGTCTTTTGATAGAGAAGCGTTGGAGCAGGTGGTATTAAGCCTTGCCCAGTTAAATCAGTTTTCAGACGATTTTTATACATTGGTATCAGTTCTGCAGAAGAATAAGGGTGGCTTCCGTAGTTTTGACAACTTTGCCAGTCTGATGAAGTGGTGCTCGCGAGAAGTGGCGTTAGATGTGAGGGGTCAAGAAATGATCACCAAAGGAATTTTGGGCCTGGCACCCTCCATGAATGATGAACAGCTTGCTGAGGCTCGTAAACTGTTGACACAGCTTGGTGTGAATGACAAGAATGTTCATCAAATGATATTCCGTCGTGCCAAGCAGTTGCAACGCGAGTCCGGAAGCCGTTGGACTCGGCGAGGTTACAGCAGTGCCACCGATGATTTTACATAGGCTCTCTTCATTGATTTTATCTTTGGCAATGTGAATTGTTGGCTGTCACAAATTGCCTCTTGTTGTTGTTGTTGTTGTTGTTGTGTGTGTTTGTGTGTCTGTGCCGTGGAATTTTGGCTTTTGATTTTTCAATTTCTTCAGTCAATCAGAAGCGTGGCCTTTGCATTTTTATTCCTATTCTTTTGTTGTTGATGTTTTAGTTGTCACCCGTTTTTTTTTTTTTTTTGTGTGTTGTTGTGGCTGCACCGCCGCTGCAAAACCAATCAAAAGTGTTTTGGGTCTATTGCTATTAACGGAATAAGTCGGCGAGATGCTCAGTGCACTTTCCACCGCTGCTCCGGCCGCTATTGCCTCCGCTGTGGCCACACGGCCTGCGCCCCTTGACCACATCTTCCAGCGCTGCAAGCTGAATCTTGTAGAGTTCACGGCACAAGACATTTATCAGGTGTGTACGACGGCGTATAACATGGACACCATTGGCATGACACAAGATCCAGACTTTATGCGTGGAATCCACGATGCCTTTCGCCGCTCCGATCAGACAGTTCTCTCACCCTTTCAGGCAAACCTCATCGCGGACACCTTCCGCAAGGTGGGCATCATCAGCACCCCAAACGAGGTGGCTGTTCCGGAAGAAGAGGCCATCTCGCCCGAGTCGCTCATCATGGTACTCCGCACCATGAACATCACGAAACAACGTGATGAACGCAAAATGAACACGGTGCTAAAATTGATGTTTCCGATCCTTGATGAGTTTAGCCCGACGCAACTCTCTCTCACTGTCACAGAGTTGGCACGGCTAAAGTGCACAAATACAGATTTTCTTGGCAAACTCGCAAAACGTATCATTGAGTTTAATGATGATTTGAGTCCTCTCGACATATCGCTAACAGCCAAGAGTCTTGCATACTGTCCAGGGGTATCACACAACATCCTTCGCCGCGTGTTCCAAATAGTGGAAGAACGCATGAGTGAATTCCAACCCGAAGATTATGTTAACGTTCTTCACGCTCTAAACGCGTTGGGTTCAAAATTTTTAATGACCTTCCGCCGGTTGGTGGAGTGCGGTTTGGAGCATGTGGAGAATATGGATGCCGTAACGCTAACAAACTACCTTGTATGTTTTTCAACAATGGATTACAGGCAGCTGGAGCATGTGGAAATTTACGCAGACGCTCTTGTAGAAGTTGCGACGGATCTTTCGGAAAGGGACTTAGTTCAGGCATTTATCGCGCTGCAGAGCCTACAACTACTTAGTGACACCATGTTTGGAACCATGGCGTCTTGTGCGATGCGGTACGCACCTAAAATTGATCCCCGAAACATTGCTCCCATCATGGACATTTGCAGCACCGTTCCACACCCTTCCGAACCACTTATGAAGGCACTTTTGGACCGTGCGATGGAGTGTACTCGCATCCTTACGCCAAACCAGCTTGGAGAAATTCTTAACCTTATCGGTCTTTACCCTCCAGCGCGGGAGCATCCACTCGTGCAGATGTTTGGTAAGCAGGCACGTCTTCGTCTTGACTTGATGGGACCTGATGCACTTGCAGGTGCCACGCGCGGCTTGGCCAACCTTGGCTACGCCGATCCTGAGTTCTACATTCAGGCCGCCGAAACTGGGTTTCGCTATGGCTTTAAGGACTGGTCGTTACTGGAACCAATCCTCATGGGCCTTAGCATCACGGCACAGTGTCCACCGACCATGGTGCGAGTACTTGGCTCACATCTAGCACCAATGGCTCGTTCAATGAGCCTTTTGGACATTGAGAGAGCAAATCGTTACATGAAGCGTCTTGGATGTGAAGATGATTTTGTATACAAGGCTATGGCTTCTCGCGTGTTACAATTTGTAAAGGAGATTACGCCTGATATGCCAGAGGAGTTGCAGATCCTACTTCAAAGAGGTGCAGTAGAACCTAGCACGGCTCCTGGTGTGATGTAGGCCTTACTGACCTCTTTATTGTTATTATTATTATTATTATTAATATTAACTTTGGTTTAGTTTTCTTTGATATCTGTAGTATGTGTCGGTGCATATGGTTTTTTTGTTGTTGTTGTTGTTTTGTTTGTGTGTGTGTGTTTTAGAAGAAAAAAGCAAAAGGGAGAGAGAGAGAGGGTTTTTGCTGGAAAAAGAAACACGATTCAACTATTTGGTTATATGCAACAGGTATTGCCTTGTTTTGAAGTGTTTTTTGTTTACATGTCTTTCTCCTTCTTTTTTCTTATTCTCTTTTTTGGGTTTCTTTTTTTTACCGCCTCCCCATGTCACAAGCGACATAGAAGACGGATACAGGCACAATACTTCTGAGTTACTTTTCTAATTGTTAGATTTAGGATAACAACAACAAAAAAAAAAAAAAAAGGAAAAAGAGGAAGCAAAATGTATGCGGGTTCATTACTCACTTTTTATAAAGACCCCTACTGCAAAATCCCCGTATTCATGATGGGAGGTTGTGCCAGACGTTGCATCCTGTGGATCGGAGGGCAGTCTGAGTCCTTCCTTACTTTTGACTACTTTCCACAGCTCGTAAATTTCCTTGAGGGCGAATGGCAGTTTGTTCAAATTGAGCTTGCGAGCAGTCGCATTGGGTTTGGTGCGCAGGATCACGTTCATGATGCCGAAGACGTGGATGATCTTATTGACATTCTTGTGATGAAGCACGAAATGCAGGAGATCACATTATTTGGGACAGGTACAGGAGCTCAGGTGGTGTTTGAACTACTTGAAAATAGCCGCAACTCCAAGTTTATCACGCGTGTCATTCTTTACGGTGTGGTGTGTGATCCCGAGACGCAAATTTTCACGCCGGAGGGAGAAGCTGAACGCAAAGAATTTGTTGCACAACTCATTGCAGAGGGTCGACATGAGGATTCCCGTGCGATGGTGAATCATTACGATATTCCCATCACGCCTGCCCGTCTCTTCAGTGGGGGCTTTCCGACATTGCAGGAGGCAGTATGGAACCCCTGTTTCCGTGAGGATACTGAAACACTGTCTCGGTCAATGGGCGTGGTAAAGGTGCCGCTATTGCTCATGTTGGCGCACCACGCACAGTACAAGCCAACCGCAGAAGAAGTGGCCCGCGTGGTGCGGCTTACAAAGGAGTATGCTGGTTGCACACACGTAACGGTCTCTTATTTCAGTGATACCTGTGACGAGCGGAGACGTGTGCTAAAGGCGGCGGAAGCTGAACATGTTGAGGCAATTGTTCAGTTTCTGTTTGATGAGGAAGAGAAGCGCAGAATACAACTGGAACAGCAGGAAAGGAAAGCGTTGGAAAATGAGAAGAAGAGAAAGTCTGTCTTGCAGGCCTCGGCGTTTGCCCAGAATGTAATTAAATCAACCGCGATGTAGTTATATGTTCTGCAAAGTTCACTAGTTTCTCGCAATGTAAAGTTAAAAGGAAGATTCCTTTTTTTTTTTTTTTTTTATTATGTTGTTTTGATTTTGACAACCAGTTTCCGTGTTTGTGACCTTGTGTGTTAGGGCTTACGTGTGCGCATGTATTTCCTTCGTTAAACGCATGAGACTAATTCTTCTGATGTGACTTCACATATTTAGTGATTTTGTGGGCTCCTTTCAGCCTCCTTATTTTTATTGGCTTAGGTGCTTTTTGTTTTCCAGGTTTTTTTTTTGTTGTTGTTTGTTGTTTTTCATGGTGGTGGTGTTGCGTACTTTTTGGTTGTTTTTATCTCTATTGTGTTTGAACGAAGGAGAGCAGCTGTGCGGAGGGGAAGTTGTACAGAAGATGTCTTTTACGACAGATGATGCACCCGCAGCTGTCCGCAACCCCACACGGAGCAGCGGTGGCAATGGTGATTGCCAGTGCGAAGAACAGGTGCAACCGGATCCCGTGCCGCCGGTGGTGGTGCATTATCCTTTAGGCTCCTGGGAGCGTCATCTGCTGGAGGAGCGACTCCGAGCCATCAAAGACTGTGAGCGGGAGCGTCTACTTCGGGAGGAGCTTGAGAAGGAGTGCACATTTCAGCCACGCCTGGCTACATCGCGCAGCGGTGAGGATGAGCCGCAGAAAGACTTTGTCTCCACGGATCAAAAACAGCGTCACGTGCCGGTATTTGAGCGTCTTGCGCACCGTGCGAAGGAGCGTGAGGCGCGTCTAGCGTCTCTTGCGGAAGAAAAAAGGCGGAATGAAGAGGAGGCATTGCGGCACGCTTTTCGCCCTCGTGTGAACACCTTCTCGGAACAGCGTGTGCCGTTTGCGTCGAATGAGGCAAAGATTCCTGTGGAGGAGAGATTGCTGCACTACGGCAGGTCCGTTGAGCAAAGTCGTCGTCTTTTGCAAGAACAGAGGCAGAAAATGGAAATTGAGGAAATGCGTCAAAAAGCCGTGATCCGGCGCGCACACAGCAATGCTTCAAGGGAGAAACGTCAAAGTGACATTGCAGGGCGTTCCAAACGGCTCCTTATTGAGCGTGAGGCGCAGCGTGCGATGGCACAAAATGCTCTACTCAATGCGCACAGTTTTCGGCCCAAAGTGTGCACTACCTCCGACGCCATTGATCGTACTTTGAAGGCGAAGAAGAGTGTGCGCGATAGGGGTTTGGCGCTTTATGAAGAGGGTATGCGTCGTCAGCAGCAGCGTCAAGCGGAGACGGTGCAGCGACAAGCAAAAGAGTCCAGTGGCCTGCACAAGCCTGCCACCAATCCGCTAACGGATGACTGGATTCACCATGGACAACATAGAGCTTTATTCCGGCAGGATTTTATAAAAAGACAAGAGATTTACCAGCGTGTAAAGGACGAACATCAGCGAAACCTTCTCTCTGCTCTTGAACAGAGTGAACGAGCCGAGGTCCCGCGGGTAAATCAGGAGATGTTAGAGCAGCAGGTGGAACGACTGTACCTTGGCGCGCAGGAGATACGAAAAGAATCAAGGAAACGAATGGAAGAGCACATTAACTCCCGCGAGTGTCCCTTTCGCCCGCAGTTGGCACCCGGAACGGCATACGTCATTGCGCGAACCCAGCGTGAGGAAGATGTGGTGAAGCGTCTTGCGTCCGTCCCTCGTAGCCGCCGTGTCAGCCATTACTCTATTTTTGATACTGCATACGCAGACCAAAAAGAGAATGAAAAGAATTCCCCACGCAAGTCCAAAGTTATTCATCCAGATGAGGCTGCTGAGTTTTTTCATCGACAGCGAAAAGCCCTAGAGGATCGAGAAGTTCAACTACGGGAGCAGAAACAACGATTGGCAATGGAGGAACTCTGTGCATGCACTTTTCGTCCACGGACGTGCACAGACGAGTACTTTCATCGACGCCAAAGAGAAGCAACCGATCAGGCACAGAAGCCCATCGAGGCACGTGTGTCAGGGGTCTCAGCGTACCTGCAACGCCAGGCCGAGGCGAAGCGACGGCTAAAGGAGCAGGAGTCGAGGTATAGCAATCTTGGGCGTGGCCTCCCATGCAACGGAGCCGGCAGTACCGTCATCACTCCGTTTCAGTTGTCCAGCGGACGTGGAACGCATCCTCACGGTTTAAGCCCGAGATGGAACGAATTGAAGTTGTTCAATGGGGAGGAATGTGATATCCGCTGTCACGTCGATCCTTACAGCAACAATGAAATTCCCATGGCACTTCGGGGTAAACTGGTAGAGGGCTCTGCAAGGTCTCGTGGGCAGTAAGAAGAACGAAAACAAAACAAAAGTATGGGGTGAGAGTGGATAGGGATGTGCATTCCTTGAAGAAGCTGTGAATTTTGTTGTTCTGGGTCATTTAACGTTCTTCAGTTTGTTTGTTTTTTTCACCTTTTTCTTTTTTTTGTGTGTATGGGGGGAATTTGTTTTTTGTTTTCTGAATCAAGAGGTGCAAAAGGACCCACGAGGAAAGGGATTCATTTGTGACACCGTTTTTTAGTTGTTGTTTTTTTTTTTTTTGCTTTACCACTCATTTGAAAAAAAAAAAAAAAAAACATATCACAGGGAGAGAGTGCGGGAGGGAAATATCATCACAGTAGTAACGCATGGCAACGCTTTCGCAGGCTCGCCTTTCCGGGTGGGCGTCACGTTGGCTAACAGATGAACTTGTTGCGCTGTCCAAGGCGGGCAATTGGGAATCTGCCATGGCCACATTGGCACAACTGCAGCAAGCAAACATAGTGCAGAGCAATGTGTTTCACTATACCACTGTTATTAGTGCTTGTGGTCGGTCAGGAAAGTGGGAAGCGGCGATGTCCGTCTTTACACATATGGTGAAGAACGATGTGAAACCCAATGTTTATACTTACACAGCTCTTATTAGCGCATGTGCTGCGGCCCAGAAACCAGATGTTGCGCTCCGGATGTATGCTCACATGCGACTCGCAGAGGTTCTTCCGAATGTGCGTACAATGACAGCGCTGGCGAATGCATGCTCCCGTGCTGGGCAATGGGAGCGAGCTATAAAAATTTTGCGGGAGTGTGAAGAACTTTCTATCGCACCAAATGTCTTCACATACACCGCCGTAATAGAGGGGTGTCGCCGTGCAGGAGTTTGGAAGCCCGCGGTGGAACTTCTCAAAGAGATGCGAGACCCTTTAAAAGTTCGTCCAAACGACGTGACATACAACACAGTTCTTGGCGCCTGTGCTGCAGCTTCAGCCCATGAGCCGGCACTCAAAGTGTATGCCGCCATGGTAAGTGATGGGTATATGCCGGTCTTGTATACAAGAACACTTTTGACAGGGTTGTTGAAGAACACCGCCCTTGACGGACTGGCGGATGAATTGCAGGTGCGCAATGGCACATGGCGCGAGGCGCACGTGCCAGATTCAGACCCTGCTGCGATCTTGGAGTTGACCCGTGAAGCGAGTGCAAAAGAAGAAGCGGAGGAAGTGCAAGAGACGGAACCAAAAAAAGAAGCTCAACTCCGCGCAGGTGTTGCGGGCGGGAATGGGGATTAGCGTGTGTCGAAGGAGGAAGATTTAGCAAGTTAAAAGAAAAATAAAAGGGGCTTGGGTGATAGAAAATTTCTCCCCCCATTTTTATTCTTCTTTTTTTTTTGTTGTTGTTGTTGTCAGTGGTGTTGTGAGCAAATATTCTTCTCTCATTGGCAGCCAACGGCACTGACCGCAGGCAAAACCCTTTATTTACTTTACCTTCTCTTTTGTTGTTGATTTATTATTGTCAAAATGCAAATCCGCTAAGGTTTAAAAGGGTGTTGGAGCTGAGCGACGATAGATGAAAAGCGGCATGGGCGAGTTGGTCTTGGAAAATGCCCGCATCGCACGCGAAATGCGAGGTGTGGCTCTGCTTGGCGTGCCGCAAACGACAGACCCAGGCTGGGTCATGCGAAAGCACGCGATTCTTCGTGCGGAATATCCGCAAGGTGCGCCGCCACCGGCCGCCACAACGGCGGAAGTGGTGGAGGGAGGAAATGGAGGCGCACTGATGGTTCTTCCATCAAAGAAGCTGCCTGGCAAAGTTGGAGGAATAAATGACCAGAAGCGTTTGCGGGGAGAAGATGCGATTATCTCCGTCGATCCGAAGGTGTTGAAGAGCCGCATAACGGCGGTTTCCACTACAGTAGAGGGGAGCGTGCATGATGAAACGCATGTGCCACCTCCAACGTGGAAAATGTCCAAAGTGTTGGTTGGACACCGAGGCTGGGTTTGGTGCGCCGCAGTGGACCCAAGTAACTCATGGTTTGTGACAGGCGGTGGTGATGGTGTGGTGAAGGTCTGGGATCTGACGACGGGGGCGCTTAAACTGAATTTGACGGGACACAAGGAGGCCGTGCGAGCCGTCTCGCTGAGTACTTTGTCACCCTACATGTTCAGCGGGAGTGACGATCACTCAGTTAAATGTTGGGACCTTGAAAGAAATGAGATTATAAGGGACTTTCATGGACATAAGGGCTCCGTTCACTGCGTCAGTGCCCATCCATCGCTGGATATTGTTTTGGGTGCTGGAAGAGATAAAACAGTGCGGGTGTGGGATATACGCACACGTTCCTGTGTGCATCTTCTTGTGGGGCATACCGACAGTGTCATGTCTCTAGTAGTACAGCAGGCCAATCCACAAGTTATTTCTGGAGGGAGCGATGGCATGATCTACTTGTGGGACATTGCATCCGGGCGTGCCTTTACCCGTCTGACACGACATAAGAAACCCGTGCGAGGACTCGCTGTCAACCGCCAAGGAACACTAGCATCATGTGGGGCCGACAACATCCGCGTCTGGTCTCTTCCGAAGGGAGAATTTCTTTTCAACGCATCCACCACAGCCACTGGTAATAGTAAGGGAGATGAGGAAGATATTTGTTATCGCTGGAGCTGCTGTGCCTTTAGCCCTCGCAACGTGCTTGCGGTGGGGAGCCAGGAAGGAAGGCTGGCACTCTACGACTGGGAGCATCCGCGTCGTCCGCCGTATCAGCTTACGCGGACAAAATCTATTCCAGGCACACTTCCCGGCGAAGGTGGTATTAACAGTGTCGTCTTTGATGCCTCAGGATCGCGCATGATTACTGCAGAGAGTGACAAGAGCGTGAAGGTCTGGCGAGCCAAAGAGTGAATTCAAAATCAAAAAAAAAAAAAAACGACAAAAATAGAAAAGAAGACAAATGACGATACAAAGAGAATAAAAAAAGGATCGAGAGAGAATTATTTGCCAAAAATCTGCTTTGCTACGCGTTTTGTCTCATTTGGTACCTACGTGTTGAATTCATACAATTTTTGGATTCCTAATGGCTGGACAGAGGCCGAGCTGGCAGGCAAACGGTTTGGACGCGCGTGCAGTAAAGACGGAAAGGGGAAGTGCGTATATGTAATTATTTTCCCTTTACTCCTTCCATCAACACCTTCTCTCTCGTATGAGACGCATATAAGCCGTTTTTTTTTTTTTTCTTCTTCTTCTTCCTCATTAGAATATGAACGCGGCATGCAATTTGAATGTCCTCCGTGTTCTTGTTGTTGGTGATACGGGCGTGGGGAAAACATTGCTTTTGCGGCGCCTGCTTCAAGCAGTTGCTCCAGGCGAAGCTTCCCTAGATACCACGTGGAGTCCGACAACTGGATTTCATGTGGAGGTGATTCTTGAAAAGAACCAGCAATTTTCTTTGCGAGATTCAATTGCTGTGCCTTGTGTTGCATTCATTGAACTTGGCGGTAATCGCAATTTTGGGCCAAGCAGTCAATTTCCAATTAGTCTGATGTCTTTTGACGGTGTTATTTTCGTTTACGACCGCCATAATGCCAACAGTGCAATTGGGCTCAGCTACTGGTATGAGGATCTTAAGAATTATGGTGTTGTCGGGATTGTTGGGGGCGCCAAAGTGATGCTTCTTGAGACGGCGCTGTCGCCATCGGTGTCGAATTCCCCAAATGCCAACAGTGGGCTTCCAGATGAACTTCTTGGCGCATATCTACAGAGAAATATCAAAAAACCTCCGCCGTGGAAAAGACGTTTTAATAAAATAAAAAGTTCAATTGCCCAAGGGGTGGGTTCATCCAGACTTAGTGTTAGAGACTTTTTACATCACCAGGGTAGTCTTCGCGTGCGAGTCGCTGTTTTTATTCTTCAATGGGCATTAAAAATTGAAAACTTGTTGCTCTTTCTGGTAGCTGTGATTCTTTTTGGCCCACACCAGCAGTCTGTTCGATTGCGACGGCCATCTGTGGCCGAGGCCCTGGCGATGATATCATCTGATGTTGCTGGCACCCAAACAGTCTTCTCGTGTCCCCTCTTTGACCAACTGGAGTTTGAGGCGTCGGCTCTGGGGAAGTTGCTGTCGTTTGTTGATTCTCTGAGGCGCGACTAGCACTGTTGCTGCGGGGTTGTTGTTTTTTTTTTTTTTACACCAGCCCTTCATTCTTTGCGTCGGAGTTGTGTTTTGCCTATATTGTGATCTTTATAAAAAATACATGTTTATTTGTTTGTGTGGAGTTTTTTTCCTCTTGTTTGGTTGGTTTATTGTGGACGTTGCTTCTCCCTTGACATTTCATTTTTTTGTTTGAATTTGTCTTTTGAGTGTTTTTTTTTTCTGTGTGTGTGTCTTTTTCTCTTTTTTTTTTTTTTTTTTTTTTGGGGGGGGGGGGGGGGGGCTTCACATTGTGATCCTTTGTGTGCATATTTATGTACTTTGTTTGTTGAATTAAGTAAGTTAGTTTGTGGTGAAAGCCACGACATTTACAGGTAGAAACAAAGGGGATGAGTCCATTTTTTGCAACCTCTTTGGGGGCGTCGCCGGCGATCTCCTCCGTGATTTCTTATATGGGACACCATGTTCCGCTGGCTCTTGTAGCGGTTAGTCCCTCTGCCCGCTTTGAGGCGGAGCTTGTCGGCTACGCCATTGGCAATGTTTATGTTTCGTGTCGTTGCGTCGATGAGGGTAACAGCCAGGACCAGGAGCCGGGAGATGTAGTGCTTACGATGAGTGCACCTCAAAGCCTTGAAGTGCTGGTGCTCAATCTTTGGTGGTTTGCGCGCTATCAAGCGGTTACACTTTTGTTGGACCACATCGGTAGGGAGCACTTTCCACTATTTCAAGACCTAAAAAAACGTTTGAAGCTGCGGGAGTTGAAGTTGCTTCACTCCGTCGTTGGGTGTGACATGATGCATGTGATGTCTACATGCCGTGAGTTGAGGGCACTCACGGTGCAAAACTGTTTTAGTGAGTCAGAAGTGATTCTTCGTGGAGTGACATCGATCCTCAGTAACCGCATTACAGAGAAGCGTGAATTCTCGACATTTTACATCTCTGGTGTCACAAATCTCGGGGTCTTGTCAAATCTGCGTAACCTCACCTTGTGCAATACTCCACTGAGTGAAGTGATGATGCTGTATTTGTCGGAGTGTGTAAGTCTAGAGCGTGTGGTGGTGAATTCATGCCGAGGATTGAGGTCACTGGAATGTTTGTCCTCGCTTCAGCGGTTAACCGAACTATCTTTGCTGAATATGGGCATAACGGAAGAAGGTCTCGCTTTCATTAGTAGATGCAATTCCTTACGACACATACAGTTGGATAATTGCATGAAACTTCAGGGTATTAATTGTTTGGGATCGTTAATTGGCTTGCGAACACTCAGCGTTTCACGGAACAGGGTTTCAGACGATGGAATTCGAAGTTTAAGTAATTTGAGAAATTTAGAACAACTCCGACTTGTTTCTTTCAACCGCCTATCGAGTGTGGAGCCCGTTTTGTGCCTGGACAAACTTCTAGAGTTAGACCTCACAGAGAATTGGGTCACAGATGAGGGCTGTGCGGCACTGGCAAACTGTGGCCAGATTCAAAAACTCAAGCTTGCTTCGTGTCGCTGTGTGTCGGATGTGCGGTGGATTTGCGCCTTGACATCTCTTCGATTTTTGGATTTGTCAAAAACGCACGTGCGAAGCGCTGACCTCCAATTACTGACGATGTGCCAACGGCTGGAAGAACTTCATGTTGCTTCTTGTAGCGGTGTGAAGGATGCGTCCTTCGTTGAAGGTTTGTTGTCTCTTGGACACCTGGATCTTACTGATACAAGCATAAAAGATGCCGGAACCCGGTCTCTTAGAAAATGCACTGCGCTTACTTTTCTCTCATTGCAGGATTGTCGTTTTTTGACAGATATACAGTTTGTGGAGCCACTGAGGAACCTGCTCAACCTGAATTTGGAAGGCACAGAAGTGGTGGACGCCAACATTATTCCGTTGATGCACTGCACAAAGCTGGAGGTTCTTTCACTTCGACACTGTCTTTTTTTAACGGATGTCCGCTGCTTGCGGGAACTGAAGGCACTCAAGTCATTGGATCTTTCCGGGACCTATGTCACTGATGAGGGGGTATCTGACGTATCACAATGCATTTCACTGGAACGGATTGATCTTAGTGAGTGTTGTCTCATTACCCACTTTGAGTTTCTTCGCCCTCTAACTGCGTTGAGGCATGTTATTGCAGATCGTATGAATGTGTTGGATGTGACTGGCTTAGGAGGAAGCGGATCCGTGGAGGGAGTGTCAATTGCCGATTGCAAACGGCTGGGGTCCATGGGGCTGCTGGAGGCCCCACGACTGCTGGATCTTTCTCTGAAAAAGAGCGCCATTACAGACAGTGGCATACACAGTGTTCTGCTGCGGTGCCATTCTCTGCGACGTCTTAATTTACAAAATTGCACATCCATTACGGAACTTAGTGCTGTTGCACAACTCCCTTCACTTACGGAGCTTTTGGTGCGGAATATGAAAATAACGAATAAATCTGTTGCATTTGTAGCACGTTGTGCGACCTTAGAGAAACTGCAGATGGTGGAATGTGTTGAAATCACAGATGTGAACAGTCTGAAATATTTGCACCGGCTGGTGGAACTGGATCTCTCAAGGACAAGTGTCACCTCTGGGGGAATTGTGGGCCTTGCACGCTGTTATAACTTAAAGAAATTGAACCTTAGCGGCTGTCGTTACCTGACGGAGGTAAATTGTTTGGGAGAACTGCGTCTGCTGAGGGAACTTCACTTGGGACGAACTACAGTATCGGATAGCGGTATAGTGGGACTCTGTCGCTGTATGCAGCTTGAAACCCTCATACTCACAAACTGTAGTCAAATTAGGGACGTGGAAAAGCTCCAGAATTGTCTGCCTTGCCTCGTAAAATTTGATGTGTACGGCACGTCCGTCGAGGATTCTCGTCGATACCTTGGTGTGGGCCAACGTGTCCAACATGCGTGTGTTGTTCTCTGAGGCTGCAGAGCTGGTTTTTATGCAGGTGGTGGTGGTGTGTGTGTGTGTGTGTTGGTGGTATCGCAAGGGCTTTGGTGTTGTATGAAATTTGTTATTTTGTTGCTGAAGGAAGTTATGGAGGGAAAGCGAAAAGAAAATACAAGTCGGAAAGTAAGTGTGGTGTGTTGTTTTGTCTCTCCCCTCTCTTCAGCGGTACGAGGTAATATTCAATTCTGCAGGCTGACAGACACACGTATAACCGCGGGACGGAGGGAAAGAAAGGGAAGAAGGCGGGGAGGCAGCCTGTTTTTTTTTTTTTTTTTTGGTTTTTCCTCTTACTGAGACCAGCAAGAAGGAATATATTTTAATAATATAAATAAATAAATAAATATATATGCGCTTCTTTTTTTTTTTTTTTTTTTTTCTGTCCGTGTCTCACACCGTTAATTGCACGGGTGGGAAAACCAAGCAGGAAACCATTCTGGCATATTGAGGGGTGAATTATTTACAATCTGCGAAGTGTTATTTCAGTGCCACACCAAGTTTATTATTGTTATTATTATTTTCCTTTTTTTTTTTTTTTCTGTGTTTTTTTTTCTCTTTTTTTTCTCTTTTTTTTCTCTTTTTTTTTTTTTTGTGTGTGTGTGTGCGTTTATATGTGTATATGTGTGTTCTTGCAGCCGTCTGTGGCCGATGCATTTGGAGTTTCTTTTTGACTACTTTTACATCTACATACAAGCACGCATGACGTTCTTTACTTTTTCTCTTTTCTTTTGTTTTTGTTGTCTCCTTGCCTTTTGGGTACGTGTTTTTTTTTTTTGTTGTTGTTGTTGGTGGTGGTGGTGAGCCCTACCCTACTTTTCTTTTTTCGTGTTAGGATGGATATGTCAATCACTGTGCAGCTTGTCTTTGCGCCAACGGGGTGCCAATTTCCGGTGGAGGTGAAGCATTCAAGAACCTCCCCCGTTTTCACCAGCTCGTCGTTAGCATCGTCATCGCAGTGGGGTGTTGTGCATTCATCAAAGATTTTCGTCTCTGATATCGTGTCATGTGTTCACAGCTGCAGGCTCACACCGCTGCGCAATGCCGACACGGAGGGAAATGTGAAAATTTTTGTTGAGTTGTTTGACTACGACACGCTGAGACCTCTACTAGCCAATGAGCCAGTGGTGGAGGGGCAAAAGTTGCTGCTTTTTGTACCGACCATTGTGGCCGATTCTCTGGCAGAGCACCTGCTTCATCAGTGGCGTCTAACCGCAGCGGATAACCAAAGTGTTCATACGGATGAAGAAGAACGTTGGAAAAACCTGCGGCAGGCGGTTTTGGCGCTCAATGTTCCCTTAAAACTCCATCAGGATCTCATGGAAAAGGAGTTGAAAACGTCTATTCAACTTCTTGAGATTACCAACTCACAATTAAACGATGCGAAGGAAAACGTACCTCGAGTGTTGGAAAGTATGAAGGAAGTAAAGTTGTTCTACGATCCAGAAGTGCCGCTAACGAGTCTTGCAGAGAGAAGCCATCTCGATGCCGCTGTTCAGATGGGAGAATCAAAACTAAGAGAGGCGGCGAAGATTCTGGATAGTGCGCAAGCCATGGCCCCTGCAGTTATGGAAGCCATTAAGGCAGAGGCGCAGGCCAGTAATGATGTTGAAAAAACATCCGCATGGAAAATGTTTTTTCCATCAATCAAAGACGGACGCGAGGAACCTTCAGTTACCGCGTTGATGTATGAGGTTGACCGCAAGGTTCAAGTCGTGCGTTCGATTGTAGAAGAAGTAGCCAAAATAACGAAGCGCTTGAAACGGTGCCAGCATTATGCGTCGGCCGTTTTGGGTCATGTAGTGGAGCCACACAAGAAGTTATGCCTACTTCCGGAGGGAATGGAAGCCGCTAGGGAAGTGGTGCATCGCCGAATCATTTTACGACGTGCTATCCGTCGGGTACTCGTTCCTTTAGAAGTGGAGTACCATGCGACGGAGCGAATTATTCACAAATTTGCAGAGAAGTGGAGTCAATGGCTACCGGATAGCCTCTACAGGGGCGTGTCAACTCCGCTCCCGCCTTTGTACCCCCCGGATGACTTCATTGCGAAAGACATGGACCATCTTTTTCTCGATATTGAAGATGATGAAACGGAGAAACTCTTGGCCGCCATTGACGCGATGTCTTCATCGGTGCCGCAGGAGAGTCAGGTGACAGAAAAGCGGTTACAGCAAATGGAGGCGAAGCTGCAACGTTGTAAAGCAGTGTTGGAGAGTGCCGAGAAAGAAAAGGCTGAACTTGAGGAGGCTTTGAAGCGAATGGGGGCATCCTCGTTATCCACTACACATCCTCAGTCGTAAAGGGAGACCGGCGCTGAAAAGGGAGACTCCTAGATGTAGTAACGGTGCTGCCTTTAGTTCTTTTCCAAAACACGTTTAGAAGAAGTTCCCCCCCTTCTCCGCATCTTCCTTTTTTTTTTTTTTTTTTTTTTTCATGCCTCTGTTTTTGTCTCTGGTTTGGTTTTTAGATTTTCTCCTTTTTCATCGTGATTACTGGGGCGACGGGCACCCCCCTCCTTTTTTTTTCTTTTTCATGTTGGGGGTGTATGTGTGACTCTGTGACTCGTTCTAGTTTTATTGTTTAGAAGATCCAGTTTTTGGTATTATTTGCTCCTCTTTTTTCATTTTTTCATTTTTTCATTTTTTTTTTTTTTTTTTTTTTTTCTTGGGGGGGGGGGGGGGGGTATATGGGTATTTGGGCCTTTTTTGATGCTTTTGGGTTTCGCGCGCGGGAGGGGAGGTTTAATGAAAAAGGTTATTTGCGCCACGTCTTTCTCCTAACCCTTTTTTTTTTTTTTTTTTTTATTATAATTATGGGGGGGGGGGACAGGGGGGGGCACAGCG